CCAGTAGCAGCAGAGGGGGAGGGGGGGGGAAAGAATGATCCCCAGCACTCAAGAGACTGAGGCTAGAGGATCACAAGTTCAAGGCCAGCCAATAGACAGTCTGTACTGTATGCCACTAAAATGAGAGCTAGAGGGAGGGAGAGGTCAAAGAATTGTATCTCTCTCTCTCTCTCTCTCTCTCTCTCTCTCTCTCTCTCTCTCTCTCTCCTTTCCTGGTCCTAGGGTTTGAACTCAGAGCCTGGGAACTGTCCCTGAGCCTATTTGTGCTCAAGGCTTGCACTCTACCACTTGTGCCATAGCACCACTTCCAACCTCTTGGTAGTTAATTGGAAATAAGAATCTCATGGACTTTCTGGCCCAAGCTGGCATTGAACCACCACCCTCAGATCTCAGCCTCCTGGGTAGCTAAGGATTAGCATAAGCCACTGGTGCTCAGCATTTGCCTCTTAAGCTCTCCTGAGGACTGAGGTTCTCCTGAGGACTCTGGACAGTAGCAGAGTCTTCCCAAGGAGGTGGGCCACTGGTAGAGGGAACACAGAACCGAGGGCTCCAGACCTCTGAGTATCTCATCCTCAGGCCTGCCTGCGTAAGCGCCTTCCTGGGACAGAATGAAAACTACCCATCCAACTCCTGCAGAACCTGCCCGCAGCAGCCTGCGCAACCTCAGACGGCCGCGCGAGGGCGCCCGAGAGGCTCCGCGACGCGGGTGCTTAGAATCTGGCCTGAAGACATGCTGGGGAAAAGGCCAGTCAGTCCTTGGCTGGGAGGGGTGACAGAGGCCCTAGGCTGCAGAGAATGGTTTCCTGACTTCCACTATGACCTGAGCCTCCACCCAGCCAGGCCCACGAGAGACCCTGTGAATTCCCGTTTTCCTGTTCCCCAGGTTGCAGGTGTTTGCCCAGCCTTGACCTTGAGCAGTAACGCTGGTGTGAGGACTTCGGGGCTTCAGCCTCATCTGCACCCTTCTCGTGCCCTCTTCGGGTCTGCACTTTGGAGATGTCATATTGCTAACCTAAGTGCTGTGTGTGTGTGTGTGTGTGTGTGTGTGTGTGTGTGTGTGTGTGTGCATGTGCCCATCCATCCCTTACTTGCTATTTTTTTCTGCCTAAAGCTAGCACTCTACCACTTCAATCAGAGCTTCACGTCCAGCTTTCTGGTGAGTAACTGGAGATAAGATTTTTCTGCCCAGGGCTGGGAAAGTGGCTCAGTGGTAGAGTGCTTGCCTTGCATGCATGAGGCCCTGGGTTCGATTCCTCAGCACCACATATGCAAAAAGAAAAAAAGCTGGAAGTGGTGCTGTGGCTCAAGTGGTAGAGCACTAGCCTTGAGCTGAAGAGCTGAGGGAAAGCGCCCAGGCCCAGAGTTCAGGCCCCATGACCGAACCCCCCCCCCCCCAAAAAAAAAGATTTTTCTGCCTGGACTGGCCTTGAACCATGATCCTCAGATCTCAGCCTTCAGAGTAGCTAGGATTACAGGTGTGAGTCATCCACTTTTTGCTTTTCTAAGCAGTTTTGGACTAGCAAACTGTGCAGTCATTAAATCTGATCTTTAAAAATCTTAACCTGAGGCCAGTGTAGTGGCTCACACCTACAATCCTAGCTACTCAGGAGGCAGAAATCTGAGGATCACAGTTTGAAACAGCCCAGGCAGGAAAGTCTGTAGGACTCTAATTAATCACCCAAAAAGCCAGAAGTAGAGCTGTGGCTCAAGTGGTAGAGTGGTAACCTTGAGCAAAAACAACTTGGGGATAGCACCCAGGCCCTGAGTTCAAGCCTCGGGAGCAGCACAAAACAAAGAGATTTGATACATCTTTTTATCTATCCACTTAAATATACTCCTAGGCTGACCACATATGAAGTTCAGGAGATAGCTGGGTGACACATGGAGAAAGCCTGCAAAATCATTTAGTACTTGCCAGGACAGACATGTATGCTTCTCCAATCGCTTGCCAGCTGCCAGCCTGCTTGTCTGTATAAATAATTCTGTGTAGCTAGACAATTATTCAAATGACCCTTGTCAGGAAAAAATAACTTCCTTCCCCTGCATGGAGGTGAGGGGAAACCAAGATTACATGAGAGAGAGACAGAGGCAGAGAGAGACAGAGATAGAGACAGAGACAGACAGAGAGACAGGTGATGAGATTGGGCCTGAGGGAGCAAATTAGGGGCCAGGGTGAGGAAAGCCATCTGCAAAGGCTGTGGGGCCAGCAGCAGAGCCCAGTTGTAGCATGATGTCCCCAGAGAACAGCAGCATCTTCTAAGACTCCACGATAGTGAGTCTCACAAACTACCAAGACTCACCTGCGACTAGAACATAATATATGAGCTGTGGAAAGAGCTGAGCTGGTAAGACAGGTCACATAAGGCAGGAGTCTGGAGTTTGTTCTTTCAGCACTGTGGAATAACTAATGGTTTTTCTCGGGGGGGGGGGGGGGTGGGAGGACAGGTAACAGAGTTTGAACTCAGAGTCTCCTGCTTGCTTAGCTTTCTTGCTCATGGCTGGTACTCAGCCATTCAAGCCACACCTCCAGCATGGCTTATTTCTAGTTATTCTGGAAATAGAATCTCATGGACTTTTCTGCCCAGGTTGGCTTTGAACCTTGATTCTCCAGATCTCAACCTCCTCAGGAGCTAAGCATGAGCCATCAGACTCATCTGGCTCCAAGTGAGGTGTTTACATCTAGGGAGTTTTGTGATCAGATTTGCCTTTCAGGTAATCAAAGTTTAGTCTTCATTGTGTCTTTTTTCTGGTGATGGGGACTGAACGCAGGTCCTCACCTCTGTGTGCACACCCATGTGCTGGTCCTAGGGCTTAAACCCAGGGCCTGGGTGCTGTCCTTGAGACTTAGTGCTCAAGGCTAATACTTTACCAAATGAGCCACAGTACTTACTGGTTAATTGAAGATAAGAATCTCAGGAACTTTCCAGTCCTGGGCTGGCTTTGAATTAAGATCCTCAGATCTCAGCCTCCTGAGTAGCTAGGATTACAGGTGTGAGCCAGCACTGCCCAGCCATATGCATACTTTATTTTTTACTTTCTCAAAGTCTAGTCTAGTTACAGTTAGCATTAGGCTCTGGAACCAGGGGCGATCCACACATAGACACCAAAATCTGTACTTGAACTTTGTTTCTCAGGTGGTTCTTCATTGAGCACTGACTTTCTCCCCTTTAGCAGCTCCAAAAGCCAAAAGAAACAATAGGTCATCAGAAAGCTATTCACATCATGGCCAGAAGATGGCGCAGGTTTCCCACTACCTGATTCACATGTCACTAGACCCAAGGAATTTTATTCAAAACAATAGATGCCAAAACTAGGAATGACAAACGAGAAACTAGAAAGACTCATAATCCATGGGAATTGACACCCCACCAGAAGTCACTCTGCGCTAGGAAATGTCCTCCAGAACAGAATGGCATCACACCCCAAAGGGAGACTCCCACCACCTTAGGTTTCCAGCTTTCTGGGGTTTTGACTGTGAACTCAGAGCAATCGGGGTGGGGTGGTGTCGGGCAGGGTGTCTGTGGGACACAGGAATCACAGCGCTGGTGGCCAGCCCAGGGAATGGAGAGGAAGCCTCAAGTGTCTGGCAGATACAGCCACAGCCACCTGCTCCCTAGCTCCAGACTCTCCTTAGTTCTTTTTCCAGGCTCCCTGATGAGTCCGGGCCTACCACTCTGCAAAGTGTCTTGTATGTCAAAGCCTGCCCCTCCTAGGACTGCAAGAGACATTCTCAGATGTCACGCAGCCTCTCTGCCATCCTTGGAGCCTTTTCTTTTCTCTCTTTGTACCAATCCTGGGCTTGAACTCAGGGACTGGGCACAATCCCTAAGCTTTTTGCATAAGGTTAGCACTCCACCACTTGAACCACAGCTCTATTTCTGGCTCTTTTGTGCTTCATTGGAAATAAGTCTCATGGACTTTCCTGCCCAGGCTGGCTTCAAACCATTATCCTCAGATCTCAGTCTCTTGAGTATCTAGGATTACACTGCCTGCCATGTCCTTTTTTTTTCCCCCTTCTTTTTTTTCTTTTAGTCCCAGATTGGGATTTGAACTCTTGATCTGATGCGTTAGCTCACTGGCTGATGCTTTACCACCTGATCCATGCTTCTAACCTTTTCCCTCCATCCTTTAAAAAATAGATTTCAGTAAAATTATTGAGAAGTTGATAAGAGGATCACAATATCCTTTGATTTCAACTGATGTATTAACTTTGAGAAATGAATGCAAATCATTTCGCCAAATCCTTTTTTTTTTTTTGGCCAGTCCTGGGGTTTGAAGTCAGGGCCTGGGCACTGTCCCAGAACTTCTTTTGTTCAAGACTATCACTCTACCTCTTGAGCCACAGCGACACTTCTGGCTTTTTCTGTGTATGTGGTACTGAGGAATCAAACCCAGGGTTTCAAGCATGCTAGGCAAGCACTCAACCACTAACCCACCTCCCAGTCCTCACCAAAGCTTTTGAACTGCACAATTCCAATCTATTCATTGAGTTGTTATTAGCAGCTTTATAAAAGACTGACTCCCAAGATGCTCGAGGCACCTCCCGGAAGACTCCAACTCCCAGCATGCTCTACTTTGGAACTCTAAGTCCCAGAATGCAACATTCCTCCTCTCCCTCTTCCTCCTCCCCCTCTCCTCCTCCCCCTCTTCCTCCTCCCTCTTTTCCTCCTCCCCTTTTGCCTCCTCCTCCTCCCCCTCCTCCTCCTACTTGTTCCCCGAGGCTCATCGAGACTACAGTTCCCAGCATGCAGCACCGCCGCCCTTTGTTACTGGCGCCTCGGTGGACCCTGATTCGGAGGGACCTTTTGGACCCCAGAGGACGGTTCATTGGGCCACAGCCCACTTTAGGGAGCATGAACGTCGGGCAGCTCAGGCCTGTTGAGCCGGTCTCTATGAAGCCTCGCCGGCTTGGCCTGGTGCCCGGGCCTCCGTTTGCTCAGGCAGTGTTTCAGGCAGCCCCGACGGGGTCCTCGGGGGGCCTTCCTGCCTTTGAACAGCGGTGGCGGGCAGGCGCCCTGGCTTCCGCACGCCCCAGAACAGGGGCCGCCATCCCCATGGCTGTGCCGGCGAGTGGGCCCAGCGCCGGCGGGTCGCGGGACATCCTGTGGCGCGTGAGTGCGGCGCTCGCTGGCCTTCGCTGCTCCTCCGGGGCTGCGCGGTGCCTCTGACCGCGCGTGCGCGCTGGGAGGGAAGGGACCGCCTGGGGGCCGATTGAAGGCTCGTGGAGCTGTCCCGAGTGGACCCCGGAGTGCGGGGTGGGGACTGGAGTCTGAAATGACAGCTGGCTATCGTGGGAGGGATGACCTGAATCGCAGTTGGGAGCCGGAGGGTTTTCTGCGAAGGTAGTTTATTCAGGTGCAGAAATAAGTAACATGTTAGTTCCTTGGGATGAGACGTGGGGAAGGTTTTCCGGCCTTGGAAAGGATGTGATGATGGGTTGGGGACCAGCTAAGCAGGCGAGGTAATCCTACTAAGTTCTTGTGTCTGAGCTGAGGGGTGCCTCACGCAGAATCCGCTGTTCTTTGGCGGTTAGAGGAAGAGGAGGAAATATTCTTTATACTTCTATCCCGGGTATTATCTCCGTTATCCTAGGTTAAACTTTTGGGTCTTATTTATTCTTCACCATCTATATGATCAGTCACTGAGTCCTGTAGAATATACCGCCGAGATGTCTGCATTTTGTTTCTTTTCCTTTTCCCACTGCCTTTTTCCAGACATTGCTGTCTTTGAGCCGTCTTGGTGAACTGCCCTTGACTGCTGAGACCTGTTTGGATCAAATCCCCTCTGCTCCGTCTTCCTTCCAGGCACCCTTACAGTAAACTTGGCACTATTTTATCTTCCAGAACATAAGTCCAATAGTTACGTTCATGTTTAAGGCCCCTCAGTATCTCTTCTTGGGTTTACTCATCAGTGAATCTTTTTTGCGGCTTTTTGCGAGGCCTGGCAATTCAGCCATGTGATTACAATGCTCAACACAGTAGTTGCCCAGTGAGGGATACATATTATAGTTCTATAAAGGTATGTACAACTTTTAGGTATTCATATAATTATTGACTAAACTCAGAGTATTACTGTAATACATAGTCATAAAACTAAAGGTGATCTCACCCTGATTTGGTTCACTGATGTTGTAAAGTTCTATAGGGTATTTTAGGTTATTAATAGTAGAAACATTTTGGTTTATATATAACTGCATAGGCTATGCTCTGGTTATAAATATTTGTGATTAACTGCCTGTATGCAAAAAAACCAGAGTTTGCATAACAAATCATTTAACTGACTTCATGATTGAAAAGTTTTGTTTGTTTCATTTTAGGTTTTGGGCTGGAGGATAGTAGCAAGTATTGTTTGGTCAGTGTTGCTTCTGCCCGTCTGTGTCACAGTCTTTGTAATCTTCAACAGCCTTAATCTATTTCATCCTATACAATGGCTATCAGGTAATGATATTTAATTTACTGAAAACAGATTTAAAAGGTCTAATTCTCAACATAAAAGTTAAATTATGAAGCTGGGCGCTGGTGGCTCACGCCTGTAATCCTAGCTACTCAGGAGGCTGAGATCTGAGGATCGCGGTTCAAAGCCAGCCGGGGCAGGAGAGACCGTGAGACTCCTATCTCCAATAAACCACTAGAAAACCGGAAGTGGCGCTGTAGCTCAAGTGGTAGAGCGCTCACCTTGAGCTGAAGAGCTGAGGGACAGCGCCCAGGCCCAGAGTTCAAGCCCCACGACCGACAAAAAAAAAAAAAAAAAAAAGTTGAATTATGAGAAGTGGTGGTGTGGCTCAAGTGGTAGAGTGACAGCGTTGAGTGAAATAGACAAGTAAAAGTGCAAACCCCTGAGTTCAAGCCCTAGGACCAGTGTGCACACACACGCGCACACACACAGACACACAGAGTTGAATTGTTTCAAATAAATAAAAAAAATGAAAATTTAATATTTGTTTTTCCTTTGGACAGCCTTGTCGATACTGTATTTTAAGAGAGTGAACTGTTCCTGTGACCTGTTCAAAATTATGGGTAGAAAAAAAATCACATCTTAAAAAAAAGTCTAAATAAAGCATACTATATTTCTGTATTATAGCTAGCAAAAAGGATGATAAGAGTAGTAAAGAGGAAAAAAATACTAGGAAAGGTGGAGTTGAATGCAGAAATTGAGGAGCAAGAAAAGACTGAGGCAGATCAAAATGTTTCTCAGACAAAATCACTAGGTTCCTTAAAAAATAACTTGCTTTCTATAAAATAAAAGTTTCCTGTTATTTCCCATCTACTGTGTGCTATGCTACATATATTGCTTATCTATATCCCTTCTTCCCTATAATCCTGTCTAATAAAGAGGTATCGTTTCTGCTTTATACATGAACAGGCCATCTATTCAGAGACACAACTAATAACTAAACTAGAATGTTACCTTTAATCTCAGAACCAGTTCAAATTCCATTTATCCACACTGCCACACTGGAATTAAAGCATTAAAGCCAGGCTCTGGTGACTCATGCCTGTAATCCTAGCTTCACAGGAGGCTGAGATCTGTGGATCATGGTTTGAAGCCAGCCTGAGCAAGAAAGTCTTGAGACTCTTCTCTCCAGTTCATCACCACAAAACTGGAAGTAGAGCTGTAGCTCAAAGTGGTAACGTGCTAGCCTTGAGCAAAAGAGCTCTGCAACAGTGCCCAGTTCTGAGTTCAAGCCCCACAAGTTTATAAATAAAAAAGGAATTAAAAGAAGCTAGGCGCCGGTGGCTTCATGTCTGCAGTTCTAACTACCTAAGAGGCCACGATTGGAGAACTAGCCCAAGCAGGAAAGTCTGGAAGACATTTATCTCCAATTAACCACCTAAAAAATTGGAAGAGGAGCTGTAGCTCAGAGTGGTAGAGCGTTAACTTTGAGCAAAAAGTTAGGATTACTGGAATGAGCCACTGGTGCCCGTCTTTAATTTTTTATTCCAGTGTGGTACTGTGGATAACTGTTGATACAGTAGGATTTGAAGTCATTAACGTCTTGCCTCTGGGTAAGAAAGACAAATACTCTTTAAATCCTTTCCCCTTACCTCCCAACAGTGTATTTCTTTTGCTGTTACCAGTTTGAACTCAGGACCTTGTGCTAGTAGTCAGGTGCTCTACTATTAGCTATGCCACCAACAAGGAGTCAGAAGCTTTACCTTATTGCCTTTGAAAGTATTGTAGGTAAAGAATAATCATGTTTTTTCCCCTTGTTTTTGTTGATGTATATAGCTTCCCTTATTCTTTTCCCTCCCTCCTCCTGCTCACTCTCACCAGTGTTTAAACTTAAGATCCTTTGTTTATTGGAACTCAAGACCTCGTTTGGCTTCTTTCCTTATTTGTATGCTTAGTTGGTGCTCTACCATTTGGTTAAAAAGCCGTATCTCCATGCTATCTTTTAGTAGGTTATTTGGGAGATGCCATGACCTTCCTGATCTCAGCCTTCTGAGTAGCTAGGATCACAGGCAGGAGCCACTGGTAACTGGCTGTTTCATAGGTCAGATGAAATTCAGCCATAAGCCAGTGTAAATGTTTAATTATGAAGGCTTAGAAAACATTCTTCTTTAATTGTGGTTAGTCAGTAGTACTGTGTGTGTGTGTGTGTGTGTGTGTGTGTGTGTGTGTGTACGTGTGTGTGTGTGTGTGTACGTACGTGTGTGTGTGTGTGCGCGCGTGTACGTGTGTGTCTGCGTGTGCGCGAGAACGCATGCGCATGCGCTGCTCCTGGGACTTGAACTCAGGCACTGGGTGCTGTCCCTGAGCTTTTTTGCTCATGCGCTCTACCACTTGAGCCACAACTCCACTTCTGGCTTTTTTTCCATGCTTAATTGGAGATGAGTCTAACAGACTTTCCTGCCTAAGCCAGCTTTGAACCCTTATCCTCAGATCTCAGCCTCCTGAGTAGCTAGGATTATAGGCTTGAGCCACTGGAACCTGGCAAAATAAATTTATTTTTATTTTTTTGCCAGTCCTGGGACTTGAACTCAGGGCCTGGGCGCTGAACTTTTGTTCAAGGGTAACACTCTACCACTTGAGCCATAGCACCACTTCCAGCCTTTTCCGTTTTTGTGGTACTGGGGAATTGAACCCAGGGCTTCATGCATGCTAGGCAAGCACTCTACCACTAAGCCACATTTTAAAGTTAAAATTGTAGTTATAATTCACAGTTCTTTTATATTGCAGTGCACTGAATGTGACTATGAGACTAAATAAATTTCACTAATTTTTTTCTCTTCTAGATTCTATTAATGATTTGTATAGTTCGTATGTGATCTTTTATCTCCTGCTGCTGTCGGTGGTAATAGTAATAATAAGTATTTTCAATGTGGAATTCTATGCAGGTGGGTTTTCAAATTTGAACCTTTAAAAAGCAGAATTTATTTTACTAAAGGCAAACTCAGTGCATTTTATATTTGAATGTGCATAATGGGTCAAGTTTTGTGTTAAAATTTTAAGGTTGACTACAGAACCATGCTTTTAGATGTTGTGTTCCTCAGCCCTGCTTTTCTTTTCTTTTTTTTTTTTTTTGGTGGTTGTGGGGCTTGAACTCTGGGCTTGGGCGCTGTCCCTGAGCTCTTCAGCTCAAGGGAGCTACCACTAGAGCCACAGCGCCACTTCCAGTTTTTCGAGTGGTTTATTGGAGATAAGAGTCTCACGGACTTTCCTGCCCCGGCTGGCTTTGAACCCTGATCCTCAGATCTCAGCCTCCTGAGTAGCTAGGATTACAGGTGTGAACCAGCAACACCCGGCTTCAGTGCTGCTTTTCATTGGTTATTTCTAGAGTATGGTCTTTGTTCCCTCTCTGGTGTACACCTGAGCTGTGATCCACCTGCTTTTTAGGTTCCCATTCTTGATGGGATCACATTGTGCACCATTATATCCAGTTTCCTTTCCATAGAGGTAGTCTTGAGGACTCTCTTCTTGGGCTGGCCTGGTTTTATGATCCTCTCAATCTCAGCCTCCCACATAGCTTAAGATGACAGGAACATAACACTATGCTTAGCTCTGGGTTGAGAAGAAGTGTCTTGAACCAGGCCCAGGCTGGCCTCAAACCACAGTCCTCTAGATCTTTCAGCCTCCTAAATAGCTGGGATTATAGGTATGAGTCATTGGTACCTGATGAGAAGTACTTTTAACTTAGAATTGTTAGCATGGAATTTTTCTGCACTGCAATTGACAATGAGTATCTTTCTTCCTTTGGTGTCTATGTGCCAGGACAAGAGGTAATGGCGTCAGCCCTCTTGACTTCATGTGCTGTAGCCATAGTTTGTTCTTTCTTTGCAGTTGTGCCTTCTATTCCCTGCTCCAGACTGGCCCTGATAGGAAGGATCGTTCATCCTCAACAACTCATGCACTCATTTGTGCATGCTGCCATGGGGATGGTGACAGCTTGGTGTGCAGCAGTAATCAACAAGGGCCAGTACAGTTTTCTTGTGGTTCCCTGCACTGGTACTACAAGGTATATTAAATACATTTTTTTCTTCGTAACTAAGTTTGTTTAGTTACCAAGCCAAAGATGACCTACATAGGCAAATAGTTTATAGATATTCTTTCCAGACATCTTTAAAAGGTATTTGTTTCTATATGTCAAAGGTTGATTGATGTTTTATATTTGTTAAGTTTAGCAAAGTTTTAAGAACATTTGTGTGTGGAAGGTGATATGCTAGGTGCTGCTGGATTTATGAGACTGATTCAGACATAGACTGAGAATAATAGGGTTTGACCTGATAGAGGTAAATGTAATAGGAAGAACAAGTGAGATGCTCAGGTACTTCCTCTAGGATCTCAGAAAGCAAGGAGAGTCTACACACATCTAAAAGAGGAAGCAGGTAGGTTGGAGTTTGAAAGATAGTTTGGAAAGGATGAGTTTTTTTTTTTTTTTTTTCGCCTGTCCTAGGGCTTGAACTCAGGGCCTGGGCACTGTCCTTAAGCCTCTCTGTGCTCAAGGCAAGTGCTCTACCACTTGAGCCACAGTACCACTTCCGGCTGTTTCTGTTTATGTGGTACTGAGGAATCAAACCCAGGGCTTCATGCATGGTAGGCACGAACTCTACCACTAAGCCACTTTCCCAGCCCCAAAATGATGAATTTTAAGAAAGAATTTCCAGTTGGGTGCTGGTAGCTCATGCCTGTAATCCTACCAACTCAGGAGGCTGAAATCTGAGAATTGTAGTTCAAAGCCAGCCCTGGTAAAAAAGTCATGAGACTCTTATTTACAATTAACTACCAGAAAATTAGAAGTGGTGCTATGGCTCAAAGTGGTAGAGTACTAGCCTTGAGCAAAAGAGTTCCTGGGCAGCACCCAGGCCCTGAGTTCAAGCCCCATGACTGACCAAAAAAAAATTCAAGAAATTATTACTGCTTTTTTTTTTTTTTCTTGCCAGCCCTGGGCTTGAACTTAGGACCTGAGAACTATCATTGAGCTTCTTTGTGCTCAAGGCTAGTGCTCTACCACTTGAGCCAGAGCACCACTTCTGGCTTTTTCTGAGTAGTTTATTGGAGAGAAGAGTCTCAGTCTCATGGACTTTCTTGCCTGGGCTGGCTTCAAACCACAATCCTCAGAGCTCAGCCTCCTGATAGGATTACAGACATGAGCCACCAATACTGGGCTTACTCCTTACTATTTTTTAAGAAATAGTGTTTTTATAATTTCGAAACCTATATAGAACTTGAACATATGACATTGATCTTTGGACTTCAAAGGGGTGAGGGTATGGATAGCTCAGTGATAGAATATTTTGCCTTGCATGTGTGAGGACCTGAGTTTGATTGTTTTTTTTTTTTTTGATGCATGTTCTATATACATATATATGTGCACATCAATAAATTTATATTTTAATAGATTATTCTATATTTTCCACTTTTAACACAGTGCTACATGAGTGCTACTGAATACTTCATTTATTTTAGGTTGTCTGTCTTCCCAATTTTCCTGATATGATGCTTTCTGTAGTGAAGACTGTCCTTTTGACAAACATGAAATGATAAAGGACATCTGTGAATCTAGGACTGTTGTAAATAGGAAAGTCCCAGGCACTCCTCTTGGATAAGTCTTTATTTTGGCCCATCTCTCTCAGTGGTGGTGGCAGTGGGAGTCTAGGGAGCAGCAGGCTCTAGCTGTTAGAGATTAGGTTTGTTATAAATATGCTTACTCGAGATTTCAGAGTCTTTAGCAAAATTAACCTATTATTGTCATCTTGTAACCTCAAGTCCAATAAATACTCACCCTGGGATCTCACCTCAGGGAGATAGATGCCCCTCATTTGTATTCCCCTCCCCGCTTTTTTTCTGCTGGTCTTAGGGCTTGAGCTCAGGGCCTGAATGCTGTCCCTGAGCTTTTGTACTCAAAGCTAGTGCTCTAACACTTGAGCCACAGCTCCACTTCCAGCTTTTTGCTGATTAACTGGAGATAAGAATCTCATAGGGCTGGGAAGGTGGCTCAGTGGTAGAGCACTTGCCTTGCATGCTCGAGGCCCTGGGTTCGATTCCTCAGCACCACATAAGAAAAAAAAAGCCGGAAATGGCGCTGTGGCTCAAGTGGTAGAGTGCTAGCCTTGAACTGAAGAGCTTAGGGACAGCGCCCAGGCCCAGAGTTCAGGCCCCAAGACTGGACCCAAAAAAAAAAAGAATCTCACAAACTTTTCTGCCCAGGCTGGCCTTGAGTCATGATCCTCAGATCTCAGCTTCCTGGATAGCTAGGATTACAAACGTGAACCTCTGATGCCTGGCTGGATGCAGTTTATATAGGTGACAGATTCTTCATCCATCAGGAGCTATTTCCTTGTCTATGATACTACTCAGGTTAAAGGAGTGGAGCTCTGCATGCAACAGGTGTGGGGTTCCCTGCCATAAAGGCCTTGTGCCCCCCATAAAATCTGCTACCCTAGTAGTATTTGTAGCAACTTTATAAACATAGCCTCCAAGATTCTTGTGGCAGATACTCATTTAAAAGAGACAACATAGCTGGGGATATGTGGCTCATGCCTTTAGTCCTAGCTACTCAGGAGCCTGAGATCTGAGGACCACGGTTAAGTCAGCCCAGGTAGGAAAGTCTGTGAGACTTTTAACTTCAATTAAGCACAGAAAAAGCTGGAAGAAGTGCTGTGGCTCAAGTGGTACAGTGCTAGCCTTGAGCCAGAGTAGCTCAGGGACAGAATTCAAGCCCCAGAACTGGCAAAACAAAACAAAAACAAACACAGATGAAGCATGAAGTTATAGGATCTCTATCAGGTGCAGTTCAACAACTTGTAAGCTCATTACTTATTATTGCTATAGATACTCTTTGCCATGTCTGATTTCCAGGGAAATGTCAGGCATCAAGGAGAAAGGTTTTGTTAGTCTTTACTCATGCTTTCCTAATATGAGTCATTTTGTTAGAATTTGGGAAGTTTTAAAAGTGATTGACTCATTACTTTGCCTTGGGTAAATATTAAGCCTAAAACAGTGAGATGTGTTCTTGACTTTTAAACTTTTCCTTCCCCTTCAGCCTAGACAGCCCTCCTGTGCAGACCTGCTTAAATGAATATCATCTGTTTTTCTTACTGGCTGGAGCATTCATGGGCTATAGCTATAGCCTCCTGTACTTTGTTAACAACATGAACTATCTTCCATTTCCCATCATTCAGGTAAAATATCCTTCCGGTATTTCCTTATAGTAGAATTTGGCTGCATTAAGATTGCCTTGGTGTGTGTGTGCCCATACCTGACCTCATCTGATTAATTCAAGATTTCATCAACAAAACAGCACTGAAGTCTGTTTGAGGAAAAAGACTTGTATATAATTTTGAGGTTATTAGCTGTCCTTGGCTGCTCCGCGAAGAACAATGCTTTGCCATCCTCCTTACCTCCTTGTTTGGTAGTAGCACTTGCTGTGACCTAGCAGGTGCCAGGGAGGAGGAAGGATTGACATTCACACAAATTACTCTGCAGCGGTAGCTGCTTTTATATTGAAGACCCTCATGAACTTGGGGTTTTATAAGTAATTTTAGAATATGTCACTTGTCCTATCATCATTTTAGAACAAGGCAAGGTAGCTATAAACCTGGTTTAAGCAGTATAATATCGAGACCTTCAAATCTAATTTTGTAGTGGTTATACCTGGCAGAAGAGTTGGTTGATATTTCCCTGTTGAATCATGGTTTGTCCCAGCCCATTTGTACTATTTGTAGTTATGCTGTAATTCACTTCATTTCTGCTCTGGTAGACAGAGCACTGAACATTGCAGCAAAAATGTTCAGTAGGGAGCAAGCCCAGTTTAGTATGGAGCAAGCAATGTGTAAACCAATGATGGTCATAATAAAGATATGATGTATGAGAATTTATGACATTTTCTGCATGCATTGTAATATAAAGACAGTATGCAGCATTATTATAATTAGGGGCACTGCCCCTAAGCATATTTTGCTCTAGATTAGCATTCTAGCACTTGAACCACAGCTTTACAACATTTCTTAGGTGGTTAGTTGAAGATAAAGTCTCATGGACTTACCTGCCTGTGCTGGCTTTGAACTGTGATCCACAGATTTCAGCCCCCTGAGAAGCTAGGATTATAGGTATCATGCATGGAGTGCTACTTTTTCTTTTTTTAAAAAAGTGTAATTTTATTGTTATTATTAAGGTGTTATACAGAGGGGTTACCATTTCATAAGTCAGGTAATGAGTACATTTCTTTTTTGGACAACATTACTTCTTCCTTTGCTTTCTCCCAGTTTCCCCTTCCCATCCCTGTCCAAAAAGTTGCATAGTTCATTTTCCACAAAGTGTATACTGAAAATTGTAACTGCATTTGTTCACCCTTCCTCCCTACCTTTCTGTACCCCCTGTTGCCTCTCCCCAAAAGACAAAAACTCCAAAAGCAGAAACACCACCACCACTAAACAGCAACAACAACAACAACATTTTCATTTGCTGGAATTTGTTTTGATAAATAATATTTTACTGCTCAGAGGAGTTATCCCTTTGGATTCCTCCCCTCAGAGTATCCTTCTTTAGTCTGACTGCATATGAATGCCTAGAGTCCATCAGGTTATCATGTCCAGTTGTAATTTAGATCTTTAACTTCCACATATGAGAGAAAACATGCACTTTGTCACTGAGCTTGGCTTACTTACTTAACATGATTTATTCTAGATCCATCCATTTCCCTGCAAATGACATAATCTTATTCTTTCTAATGGATGAGTAAAATTCCATTGTGTATATGTACTACATTTTTTTGATCTACTCATCTATTGTAGGCATCTGGGCTGTTTCCATAGTTGTATTTTGAGTAGTGCAGCAATGGATGTTCAGGTATCTTTACGGTATCCTGACATAATTTTCTAGGTAGATGCCCAAGAGTCCCATGGCTGGTTCATAGGGAAGTTCTATGGTTTTTGTTTGTTTGAGGAACCTCCAAACTGCCATCCAAATTGGTTATACTCTGCATTCCCACCAACAGTGCAATAGGGTTCCTTTTACCCAACATCCCTGTCAGCATTTCTTGTTTGAACTCTCTTGATTTTGGCCAATCTAATGGGGGTGAGATAGAATCTCAAAGTTGTTTTGATTTGTATTTCCTTTACTGCCAGGGATGTTGATGTTGAGCAGTCCTCATTTGTTTAATTGCAATTTTTTTTGTTGTTGGTGGTGGTGGAGGGGCTTGAACTCTGGGCTTGGGCGTTGTCCCTGTATTCTTCAGCTCAAGGCAAGTGCTCTACTGCTTGAGCCACAGCGCCACTTCCGGTTTTCTAGTGGTTTATTAGAGAGCCTCACAACCTTTCCTGCTTGGGCTGGCTTTGATTCGTGATCCTCAGATCTCAGCCTCCTGAGTAGCTAGGATTACAGGCATTAGCCACCAGTGCCCGGCATAATTGTAATTCTTACTCATGGGCATTACTTTTATGATTATAGGTTCTGAGCTGGGCCTATGTGTGTTATTCTAGCACTTGAATGGCTAACACTTGGGGAGCATGATGAGTTCAAGACAAGCCTGGGCTATATAATAGGATTCCTTATCCTTACCCCCGGAAACAAAAACCCAGGTATAATGGCACATGCCTGTAATCCTACCTGTTCAGGAGGCAGAGGCAGGAGGATTGAGAGTTCATGACCAGACCGAGTAATCAATGCTAGTGAGACCCTTTATCAAAAATAAAACAAAATACAAAAAAAGAGGACTGGGTAATGGCTCATGTTGTAGATTGTTTGTCTGGCATATATGAGGTCCTGAGTTCAGTCCCCAGTACTACAAAGGAAATATGATATGTTCTAAAGTCAGCCTGCCCAGATTCATTCATATCTCTTATTTCCAATTTGCTGATAATGTAGGTTATTTAACCTTTCTGTGCCTTGGTTTCCTTATCTGTGTGATGGAGTTAATAATAGAGCCACCTTCATTGGGAAGCTTTGAGGTTTGAATGGATTAAAACATATAACATGCTTAGCATAATACCTGGTATGTGTAAACAAACAAAAGTTGTTACCTGCCTTTGTTTCAGTAGTCTTCTCATATTCATGGTTTTGCTCTCTCTGCTCCTTCGCAGTGGTTAACAATAATCTGAAAATATTCAATGGAAATGTCCAGAAAGTACCAAGAATGGATTGATGCTGTTGATTTTCTTATTTCTCATTTCCTATCATTAAATAGTTGTGTAAAGGAAAATATTAAATATTTTGATATCAAAACTAGTGTTTTGACTGCACTCAGGTTTGACTCAGGATTTTGTGCTTGCTAGGTAAGCTCTCTACCTCTTGAGCCACACCTGTAGCCCTAAAAATAGTTGATTTTTTTGTTTGTTTTTTTCTGGAATAGTCTTTGTTATTTTGTACAGTAATTTTTTTTTTTTACTGTGATAGGGATCAAATCCAGGCCTTACACATGCTAGATAACCTGTTTTGCCACCAAGCTAACCCCTCAAACTCTCCTATTGCATTTTATATGTTGACTTTTACTGTCAAGTCCTTGCTTTAGATGATATAGAATGACTAGGTGTAGTAGTGCTTGCTCCCAGTATTTGGGAGGCTGAGACTATATAGACCCTCTCTCCAAAAAAAATAATATGGAATGTAATGTACTGTGTGATTTGGAGGATGGTTATTTAATTCATTCTGTTCTCTTTTTTTCCCACAGCAATACAAGTTCTTGCGGTTTAGGAGATCTCTGCTCCTACTACTTAAACATAGTTGTGTGGAATCATTGTTCCTGGTTAGAAATTTTTGCCTTGTATATTATTTTCTTGGTAAGGATTTCTGTTTTTTAATGTTACAAAATTATTCTCTATTGTATTTGTATGTTATACTTGTAGGTATATGATTAGTCCAACTGGTTCATTGTTTAAATACTCAAGAGTATTTAGTTAATGAAAAATATTGTCAAACAGTATTAGACATATAATGAAGTTTTCAACTTAAACAACTTGAAGTCATTATTCTAACTGAAATAGTTCACAAAAGAACAAATAATTCATGAATGTACTTATGAGGCTCTAAAGTAATCAAAGTCTTAGAAATACAGAGTAGAATGCTGTTCCCATAGGTTGAGAAGAGTAGGAAAGGGCCAGAGCTGTTCAGTGGTAAGAGTTTCAGTCATTCAGGCTGAAAAAGTTCTGGAGAAGGCTGGGCTTGGTGTTACACACATGTTATACCAGCACTCTGGAGGCCAGCCTGGGCTACATAATGAATGTCTCAAACTAAACAGTCTGGGTATGGTGGGCACTTCATGCCTATAATCTCAACTACTAGGGTGGTTGTAGGTAGGAAGAACAGGTCTGAGCCTGACTTCAGGCCAACCTCTTAAGATGCTATCTGAAAAATAAGTAAACCAAAAAGGGTTGGAAGCATAGCTCAAGTGGTAGAATGCTTGCCTAAAAAGTATGAGGCCTGGCTTGACACTGTAATTGACTTGAGATCTGAGTATTGTGGTTCAAAGCCAGCTCAGGCAGGAAAGTCCATAAGACTCTTACCTTTAATTGACCACCAGAAAACTGGAAGTGGTGCTGTGGCTCAAAGTGGTAGAATGCTAGCCTTGAACAGAAGAGCTCAGGGACAGCACCTAGGACCTGAGTTCAAGCCCCATGGCTGACCAAAAAAAAAAAAAAAAAAAATCCCAGGTTCAAAATTCTGGAGTTGTTTTATAAGAGCATGCATGTAGATAACACTTCTGTGCTGCACACTTAAAAATAAATGTCAAGCTTTTGTGTTTGTTTTTCCACAGTAAAAGTATATTTTTTTAGAAGTAGAAATAAAATATGAATTTGGTTATTTCTCTAGCTACAAGTAACATGCTCCTTTACATAAGGTTGTAACTTGATTACTAATGCAGTAATATCTTGTTGGTGAGAAACCCTGAAGAATTTATTATTGTGAATTTGAGGAACAAAAACTGTAATTTATTATTTAGCATAGTATAGATAAGTTGAAAACCTTAATCTCCTTAACCAAGATAGGGATATAAAGAAAACTACTGTTCTCAGACTAAAACTTTGTGATTCTGCTTTTTCCAGATATACTTTTTTTGTGGTGGTGGGGTGGTCCGGTCGTGGGGCCTGAACTCTGGACCTGGGTGCTATCCCTCAGCTCTTCAGCTCAAGGCCAGCACTCTACCACTTGAGCCACAGCGCCACTTCCGGCTTTTTTTTTTTCTGCTCAGGTGGTGCTGAGGAATCGAACACAGGGCCTCATGCATGCAAGGCAAACACTCTACCACTGAGCCACCTTCCCAGCCCTCCAGATATACTTTCATATATCCATTTAGTTCATGTTTTTTACTATAGCTGTTGAAATTGTATTTCTGATGTCAGCACTTTATTAACCTACTGCAGCTGGCTTGGTTTCTGTCCTAGGGTCAAGTTTGGTTTGACATAGTGGTGGTATCACAAAGTTAGCTTGCCTTCCTTTTTTTTTTCCCCTAACATTTAAAAATAATTCTTTTACATTATTTCCCACTGAGACCTTGACAATTCTTGGTCTTCACTGATTAAGTAGTTAGTATTTTCTCTCCCAAGTCTCCCCTTCACCTGTATGAAGGGAATCTGTTTTCTCTGTTCTTTATACCACACTGGTAGGCCATTTTTCTCTCTTTCATCTTTTACAATACCAAGTTTGAATCTCTTAACTTTGAATCTATGTCATCTACCAGCCTGTTGCAGTCCTGCATTCACTTGTATTAACTCTTACCTCTTGAAGATTTAGCTTTAGGTTTTTTATCATTCTCTAAATTATCACTCTTGTCCCAGTACTTTGTGATTTTAATAATCACATACACCCTACATCTTGTCATCCAAGTTTGCCTCATTTATTTTGCCTTCCCTACCTCAACTCCTCATACCATAGACTTTGTTCTTATATACCTGCATCACCTATATTGTCTCATTCTCTCAACAAGTATTTTTTTTTCTATCTTACTCATTTTAGGCCTAAACCCTGGCAATTCACCCACCACTAAGATTCTTTGATCTATTGATTCTGCATATTTTCATTAACTTTCATTCCCCTTTTTGCCTTCCCTTCTTCCACACTCAAACTAAATTCCAGTCAGCTCAATCTATGTAACTCCTTTTATTTATTTATTTATTTATTTATTGTTGGTCATAGGGGCTGAACTCTGGGCTTGGGCACTGTCCCTCAGCTCTTCAGCTGAAGGCTAGCGCCCTACCATTTGAGCCACAGCATCACTTCTGGCTTTTCCTGCTTATGTGGTACTAAGGAATCGTGCATGCAAGACAAGCACTCTACCACTGAGACAACTTCCCAGCCCCTATGTAACTCCTTTATATTCAATTCAGATTTCACTTTGAGTATTGTCACTTTTTTGGGGGGTGGTTCTGGGAATTGAACTCAGGGCCTTGTGTATGGTAGGCAGGTGTTGTATTCTTTGAGCCATGCATCTAAGCACTCTCTCCTTTTTATTGTTGCCATTTTGGGGGATGAACTTAGGGCCTTGGCACTCTTGCTTAGCTTGCTTACTCATGTCTGGTACTCTACCACTTGAGCCACACCTCATCTTCCACCTTTTGTTTTAGTTGGAGATGAGAGGTTTTGTCTGTTCTAGCTGGCTTCGCCCCATGTTAACCTCCTGAGTAGGTAGGATTATAGCTATGAGCCACTAATGCCTGGCTTCATTGGTTGTGAGGTTGGGTTTTGCTTTATGCCAGCCTGAGCTTCACTCTTCCTGCTTGTGCTTTCCTGTGTTGCTAGAAATGACAGGTGTGCTCTACTATGCTAGGATAGCAGATATGTGCCACTGTATCCAGCTATTGATTGAGATGGAATCTCATGAACTTTCATGACCAGGCTGCCTCATACTTAGATCCTCTGATCTATACATCTCTAGGTTAACAATTGTTAGCCACTGCTACCTTTGTCACATTTCTTCGTTGTATTTTTGGTCTTCATTTTGGCTAGTTTCCTTTTTCTTCTGTTGGAACCCTATTTGTTTTGTAACAGGTCATGTTGATTTATCACATGAGATAATTAGGTACCACAGCTGTTTGCTTTGCTGTCTGACCTGACTTAGAAATGTGATAGCGTTGGTCATAGATGATAGTGTTCATCTATATATTAATTTGTGTACTGAAAAGCTGGAACTGCTGTATGCATTTCATCAATATACCATCGTAACTGAAATTTGAAACATCATGACTGAAATATGTGGATATTACACAAGGCAAAACTGTTCTGCATTTAGAAATTCTCTTCTTTTCCTATTTATTCTTTTTTTTTTTTTGGGTCCGGTCGTGGGGCTTGAACTCTGGGTCTAGGCGCTGTCCCTCAGCTCTTCAGCTCAAGGCTAGCGCTCTAGCACTTGAGCCACAGCGCCACTTCTGGCTTTTTTCTTTTTGCTTATGTGGTGCTGAGGAATCGAACCCAGGGCCTCAGGCATGCAAGGCAAGCGCTCTACCACTGAGCCACCTTCCCAGGCCCTTCCTATTTATTCTTAATCAAAAAGTTTAGGATTTTAACCTGAGAACTTGGTGTCTACTTCAACTTCAAAATCTAAAACATGATTAAAATACTTGTTTTTTGGTTTTTTTTTTTGTTTTGTTTTTTGTTTTGGTCAGTCGTGGGGCTTGAACTCTGGTCCTGGGCACTGTGCCTGTGCTCTTCAGCTCAAGGTGAGCATTCTGCCATTTGAGCTACAGCACCACTTCCTGTTTTCTGGTAGTTAATTGGAAAGAAGAGTCTCATGGATTTTCCTTCCTGGGCTGGTATTGAACTGCTGTCCTCAGATCTCAGCTTCCTGAGTTGCTAGGATTACAGACGTGAACCACTGGTGCTGCCTAAGATTTGTTTTTATTAACATTTTATGTTTATAGCTTGATATTTTTTCCTTCTTAGGCTATATACCCAAAGCTTGGATTAGCACTGCTATGAACCTTCACATAGATGAGTAAGTGATAAATTCTGTTTCTCTTCTTTAATGTTTACTAGATACTAGATGTCTAATGTCTTTCTAGGTGCTATGTTTAGATTTATTCTTTAAATACTTTAAAAAAAATTGAAATCAGAAAAAACAAACTAGAGAGGAGCCAGTGCATATAAGGAGGGTGCCTGGCTCTCCTCACACTCAGTGTATAGACTGAGAACCCTTCATGCTTCTGCTCATCCCCGGCTACTGAGCTAAGATAAGCTCAGCTTCTGAGTTCATCTTCTCTAGTTCCTCATACAGCCATCTTGTATTGGACTTCTAGCCTATCCTATATAATACCTGAATATTTTCCACTGTACACAGTTGGTCCCATGCTTTAACTGTATCTAACACTGCTGAGATGTGATTGTTTCAATATTTTCTTGAAAATTGCATAATTAATAAGTCATTAGGTTTTTTCTTTTCCAAATTCTGTATTGTGATTAAGTGTACATAATTTCCCAAATTTCACAGTATTGTGGGATAGTGATGCTTAGTTAAAGTCACAAACACATTCTAACTTTCATGGAGCAAATTGTCTATCATGATCTATAACATTTATGAGTTCAATGAGCTTTGTATATTTTTTATCTTCTCATGGTTTCCATGGTTTAAAATTTCAAAGATAAATTAAAGTATATATAGAGAAAAAGACTCCTCTGGATGCCTCTCTTTGATTTTTCTCTTCACCAGTGGTTTTTGTTTTTGTTTTTGTTTTTTGGTCAGTCATAGACCTCTGGCTGCCTCTCTTTGATTTTTCTCACCAGTGGGTTTTATTTTTGTTTTTGTTTTTTTGTCAGTCATAGAGCTTGAGCTCAAGTCCTGGACACTGTCCCTGAGCTTTTTCACTGAAGGCCAGTGCTCTACCACTTTGAGCCACAGCACCACTTCCCGTTTTCTAGTGGTTATTTGGAGATAAGAGTCTCATGGGCTGGCTTTGGACTGTGCTTCTCAGATCTCAGCTTCCTGATTAGCGAGGATTGTAGGCATGAGCCATCAGCGCCCGGCGTTATATGGTTTTAAAGTATTAAATTACTACAAAGCAGCAATGACAGTCATTCTACATCAGCTGTAGCACTTTTCCCATCTGCCTCTGAGGAAGTCAAAATTGAGCAAGGCAGCAATTGAGTAGAAGCATGTGGGTCATCCCTGCATGTGTGCTCTAGTCATCCTTTTGTGCTTTGCACATAGAGAAAGGTTAAATCTATATGTGCTAAAAGTAAATGTTAGTTTTCTCCAGTGTTTGTCATTTACTTATTGATTAGTCTACTGTAAGATTTGTATCATATCGTTTTGTATCATATCAAACCATCTGCTAGTATCACATTTTTTTTTTTTTTTGGGTCCAGATGTGGGGCCTGAACTCTGGGCCTGGGCGCTGTCCCTCAGCTCTTCAGCTCAAGGCTAGCACTCTACCACTTGAGCCACAGCGCCACTTCCGGCTTTTTTCTTTTTTGCTTATGTGGTGCTCAGGAATCGAACCCAGGGCCTCATGCATGCAAGGCAAGCGCTCTACCACTGAGCCACCTTCCCAGCCCCACTAGTATCATTTTGATAAGTAGGAATATGGGCGTTTATGAGCATTTAAGAGATAAGGCTTTTTAATTATATCAGTTTCAATTCTTCACTTATAAGTTTTCCTAGCTAATTTTTTTAACCTAGGCTTAACTGTTAGATGTGAAATCCAATACATGTGTCATTATGTTAGCCCTAATTTTGTAAACTGGGTCAACTAGAAAGAGAAAAATAATTATATTTAATAAAGATTTAGCATAGTGCTTTTGTCTTTTCACTCAAAAAATGTTCTGTTTTTTGGCTGAGTGCCTAGTACTCCATCTTTCCTGAATGTCAGACACTCAGTAAATGTTTACTTAGAAATTAAACATACTAATTCCATCATTTATTGGTAACTCCTCCTCCCTCCAGTGAATGCCAACAATGTGTTGGGTACTCTGTGTAACATAAGTTGCTTTAAATCTTACACTAGCCCTAGGAGTTTGAATGGAGAGATTATACCACTATTGTATGAATGAGGAAAATGTGGGAGGAAAATGAGGGTGGGAATGATGGAGTGATTAACCTAATTACTATGCTTACAAATGGCAGAGATTCAAAACCTGATTTTCATAGTTGCTGGTTGTATGATTGGAAGACTTAGGGTTTTGTTAATTGTTCTATTCGAAGTTTGGTAATATATCAGCTTGTAGTTTTTCGTTTTTTGTTTTTAAATTCTGCTAGTTTCTCAAGTTGTTTAAAAAACAGAATTGTTTAGTAGGGTATACTTCTAACCATTTTAAAACTATAGGCTATACAGGTAAAGTTGAAATCTGGCCCTGGAGGGGTCCTAATCATTTTTGTTTTTTGTTGTTGTTCTGAGGCAATCTTGTTATGTAACCTAAACTGGCCTGCACTCAGGATCTTCCTGCCTCTCCCCTCCCCAGTGTGGGATCACAGGCATGAGTCATTGTGTCCAGCTTTTTTGTCATGTTATATAGTTTTTTTTGTTTTTTTTTGTCGGTCATGGGGCTTGAACTCTGGGCCCAGGTGCTGTCCCTGAGCTATTCAGCTCAAGGTGAGTACTCTACCTCTTGAACCACAGCCACTGCCAGTTTTTTAGTAGTTAATTGGAGATAAGAGTCTCAGGGACATTCCTGCCCGGGGTGGCTTTGAAATGCGATCCTCAGATCTCAGCCTTTTGAGTAGCTAGGATTATAAGAGTGAGCCACCAGTGTCTTGGCATTATATGGTTTTAAAGTATTAAATTACTACAAAGCAGCAACAATAAACTTTGATTTAGTCAAAGTAGTTAGGCATATAGACTTGACTCATTCTTCCACAGTAAATGACAGTGAAGATTTGGATCATAGAAAATTAGGATAGTTCAGGTCTACACTTCACCTAAGATGTCCCTTAGGGACACCTAAGAAAGTACTAAGGAAATACCTATTGTAATAACCATTATTTAGAAATAGGATTTGTTGGAAGTGGAGCTTTGGCTCAAGTGGTAGAGCACTAGAGGCAGTGCCCATGCTCTGAGTTCATGCCCCAGGAAAGGAAGGAAGTTCAGTGTAGAGTCCCAAGTCTGTTAAATTAACTGGTACATTGTGCATTCACAGGCACTTTCACAGGCCTCTTGACACAGTAAGTGGCCTCTTGAACCTCTCATTACTCTACCATGTCTGGCTTTGTGGTGTCTTCCTCCTGATGACTTGGTACATCTCATGGATACTCTTCAAAATCTATGCCACAGAGGTTAGTACTTACTAACAAATGCTTGCCTAACATGCATGTGTTAATTTTTTTTGTGCTTTAAAGTACACAGATTTATTTTATTTATTTATTTTTTGTCAGTCGTGGGGCTTGAACTCTGGGCTTGGGTGCTATTCCTCAGCTCTTCAGCTCAAGGCAAGTGCTCTACCACTTGAGCCATAGTGCCACTTCCAGATTTTTTTTTTTTTTTTTTTTTGGTCCAGTCGTGGGGCCTGAACTCTGGGCCTGGGTGCTGTCCCTCAGCTCTTCAGCTCAAGGCTAGCGCTCTACCACTTGAGCCACAGCGCCACTTCCGGCTTTTTTCTTGTTGCTTATGTGGTGCTGAGGAATTGAACCCAGGGCCTCAGGCGTGCAAGGCAAGTGCTCTACCACTGAGCCACCTTCCCAGCCCCAGATTTTTTTTTAATAAAGCATTGATCAGTGTATTATGACAAAAGCTATCTGAATTATTTTTGTTTACTTAATGTATTTTTGAGAGTCTCCCTATAATACAGGTTGGTCTCAAATGAATGGTCCTCCTTCCTCTGACTCCCAAGTACTGTGAGTTACAGCATCTGGCAGATACATATCATTTATACTTTATATTTTTCTGAAGGTCAAAATTGGTATTTACTTAATATTTGGAAATTAAACTGAATTGTATTTATTATGCTTTATTTGCAGTTTGGTACTCTTTTCAAAGCTCCTGTTTCTCTGTTAAGTACATACTAGATATGCTTGAATTTTAATGCTATTACATTTTATATGCAGTTATATGCTATTAACATAATTACTATTAAGATACTATTAGGGGGCTGGGAATGTGGCTTAGTGGTAGAGTGCTTGCCTAGCATGCATGAAGCCCTAGGTTCAATTCCTCAGTACCACATAAACAATAAAAGCCCAGAAGTGGCTCTATGGCTCAAGTGGTCGAGTGCTGCTAGCCTTGAGCAAAAGCAGCTCAGGGCCATTGCCCAGGCCATGAGTTCAAGCACCAGGACCCGAAAAAAAAAAATGCTTAGGCCTGGAGGTGAGGGTGAAGTGATAGAACACTTGCCTTGCAATTGCAGGCACTTGAGTTCAAACCCCAGTTGGCTCTGAACTCCTGGGTTAAAGCTATCCCTCTGCTTCAGTCTCCCAAATAACCAAAGTAAAATGGTGTTTAAGTATATAATAAAATGATTTTTGAAAGAAAGTAGAAACTTATGCTAAAGAAAGAACTTATGCTAGAAATAGAGGGGATGATCTAGATAATGTCTACAAACCCTTTCTTAAGTCAAGAATTACATTGCTTTTTTTTTTTTTTTTTTTGGGTCCGGTCGTGGGGCCTGAACTCTGGGCCTGGGTGCTGTCCCTCAGCTCTTCAGCTCAAGGCTAGCGCTCTACCACTTGAGCCACAGCACCACTTCCGGCTTTTTTCTTTTTGCTTATGTAGTGCTGAGGAATCAAACCCAGGGCCTCATGCATGCAAGGCAAATGCTCTACCACTGAGCTACCTTCCCAGCCCAAGAATTACATTGTTTTGAGTCAGGTGTGGTGGCTGAAGTGTGTAATTCTAGCTACTTGGGAGGCAGAGTTGGGTGATCACAATTCAAGACCAACTCAGGCATAAAAATTTGTGAAACACCATCTCAACCAAAGGCTGAGTACAGTGGTCTGCAATGTTATCCCAGCTATGTGGGAAAGCACTAATGGGAGGATGGTGGTCTAGAGTGAGATACCTTCTCAAAAAATAACTGACAGAAGAATTGTTGGAATTTCTAGCAATTGTGGGGCCCTGAGTTCGGGCCCCAGTATATGGGAGGAGCGGGAAAAGAAGTACATTATTTTCTATCTTCCAAATGTTTGTCTTAGAAAATAGTGTTTGTGTTTCTCTGTAGTTTGTATTCTTCAGTAGGTTCAGAGAGTATTCCCAGCCAGAATTGGGCTGGGAATGTGGCTTAGTGGTAGAGTGCTTGCCTACTATTCCTCAGTACCACATAAACAGAAATGATGCTGTGGCTCAAGTGGTAGAGCACTAGCCTTGAGCAAAAAGAAACTCAAGGACAGTGCCCAGGCTCTGAGTTCGAGCCTCAGAACTGGCAGGAAAAAGGAACAAGCCAGAGTCCAGTAAAATTGGGACAGTGTTGTTGTTTTTCCCCTGTTGTTTGGTTTTTTGAAAGAGTTTCATAGTGTACCTCAGGCTGGCCTTAAGTCCCATGATCCTCCTGTCTCTGCTCTAAATCCCAAATGCTGGAGTTACAGGTGTAACTAAATCCAGTCAAGATAGTACCATTTTTTTTTAATAGATACTGTATTTGGATTTATTTAGCTTTAATGTTTCTTGATTTGGCAAGGGGCACTAATTTGGTTGTACTATCTCCTTGGTACAATTTATGCTTATTTACTGAGTAGAACAAGGTTGTAAAAATAATCATTTTTATATTCTTTGGGTTATATTTGACAGGCTCATGTGTTCCCTGTTCAGCCACCATTTGCAGGAGATTCAGATGAATGCCTCCCGAAAGTTTTAAGTAGCAATCCTCCCCTCATCATAAAGGTACTAAAACTGTTCCTTTTGTATCTTTACACTGTTAGCTATAACTGACAAACTTAGTATTTAGCATAGTTATATATTTAGAGATAATTTTTGAAGGCCTAGAATATTCTGTTACTGGTGTTGTAAAACTGGCTGGGGTGTGGCTCAAGTAGTAGAGCTCTTACATAGAAAGCATAAAGTTCTGAGTTTACCTCCCTCTCTAGTCCTGTCACCCCCTCCCTGGCCAAATCAACTACTTGCTAGTGCTGTTTGTATTTTCAATTTTAATTTTAAGTAACTTAAATGCCAATGTAAAGTGAGGAGTATGTATAAGACAGCTAATTTTTCTCTTCTTTTGAAACAGGATGTCACCATAGTTGGCTCTTAACTCATGGGTTAAAGCTGTTCTTCTGCTTCAGTCTCCCAAATAGCTGAAATTATGAGTGTGCACCACTACTCCTAGCCACGCTAGCTAATTCTGTATTTAGAAAAGAAGCGTGAATAGTTCCCAGCATGAGATTATAGTTATATAGTTACAGCCAACTAAATGCATTAGTTTCACAGACTGTTCCTGGTAGCAAAGCATGTACCACCATACCCAGCTTTCATAGTCTGTTAAAAAAGAATTGAAACGGAAGTGGCGCTGTGGCTCAAGCGGTAAAACACTCGCCTTGAGCTGAAAAGCGCAGGGACAGCGCCCAGGCCCAGAGTTCAAGCCCCACGACCGACAAAAAAAAAAAAAAGAATAGAAACAACTGGGTGCCTGTGGTTCATGCCTGTAATCCTATCTACACAGGAGGCTGAGATTTGAGGATTTGTTTGAAGGCACCTGGGCTGGAAAGTCCATGAGACTCTTTATTTCCTATTAACCACAAAAAAGCTAGAAGTGGAACTGCAGCTCAAATGGTAGAATGCCATCCTTGAGTGAAAAAGGGGACAGCATTCAGGCCCTGAGTTCAAGCCCCATATTGATGTGCGCGTGCGCATATCACACACACACACACACACACACACACACAGAAACACACACACACAGAAACACACACACACACACACAGAAAATGGTTGGAACTTAAAGTTTGGATCAGTCTAGAGAAGCTTTAAACAAATAAGAAAATGAACTACTGAGGCTCTAATTACCTTTCTTTTAGGCCAGTCCTGAGGCTTGAACTCAGGACATGGGTGCTGTCCCTGAGCCTCTTTGTGCTCAAGGACATTTATCTACCACTTGAGCCACAGCACCACTTCTGGCTTTTTCTGAGTAGTTTGTTGGAGATAAGAGTCTCATGGACTTTCTTGCCTGGGCTGGCTTTGAACTATGATCCTCAGATCTCAGTACTTAAGATTACATGAGCCACCAGCACCCCGCTCTAATTACCTTTAAATATGAATTGTGACCAATTTTTTTAAACTTTTTTATTATTATTATATCTTTACGTAGTTGTACAAAGAAGTTCCCATTCTACAAAAAAGTATATGAATATAAGGTGTCTGACAACATTGTCACCCATCGCTCCTAACCCATCCCTTTCACTTTTTTTTTTAAATTGAGATTAGTTGATTACATAAATTTCACATATTTCCTAGTATTGTGGAATAGTGATACTTAGTTAAAGTCACAAACATTTTAACCTTCACAAGGCAAATTGTCATTATCAGGGTCTATAAAGTTTGTGAATTCTATGAGCTTTGGCAATACAAATTATTTTTTCTACATCAGGTGATGATTACATTTCTTTCCTTTTGCTTAGTGTAGGCTGCTACCTCTTTGCCTCTCATTCCTCCCTTCCCATTGCTGTCTTTGGGTTGCTTAGTTCTTTTTCTTCTATGTCCAGTGCAGCTGATGGGCCCCTTTGTTGTATATTGTTCTGTTTCCCACTTATTCTGTTCCTCCTTCTGGCTTCCCTCCGTTGCGTGCATATATCTATCATATATGTGGTGACCAATTTGTTAAATTAACTTAGATCATATATTCATTTGATAACTCACTGAATGTTTTTAGAGGGAGGGAGACAGTCATTGCTAGTTGCTGTGGGTAGGATGATTAGGAGGACTTTATATAGCCTAACAGAAAAGGCAGGCAGATGCATAATTAAAATTCACTCTGGCCAGTAAGTGGGAGCACTTATGTGCTTGTGACCAACATAAGAGCATCGCAGAAAGGATGGTTATTGGTAAAGAGGCTTCCCAGGAGAGAAACTGTTAGGTGTTTTTAGTAATAAAACAAACAAACAAAAACCCCAAATGTGTGTCTGCTGTCTGTTAGTCACAGTGGTCAGCAAGAGGTGGTTGATGTCCTTTGGCCTCATAGCTTAGTGGGTGGAGCCAGATGAAGCAAGCAAACAGTCATTTACCATATGTGAAGTGCTACACTTGAGTGAACCAGGTAAAGTTTGAGGAAGACGTGATGTTTAAGTTTTCCACCACAAAGGTGAAATAACACAATTCATTGTGTCATTATTTGTAACCGGAACCTACATTGGGTAGGAGGTGTAGGTAGGAAAGTACTGTGAATCTAGAAAAGGTTATGTTTCTGAAATAGTATTTCTTTTATAAAAATGTTATGAGTGGAGCTGAGGATGTGGCTTGGTAGTAGAGTGCTTGCCTAGCATGTGTGAAGCCCTGGGTTCCATTTCTCAGTACCACATCAACAGAAAAAGCTGGAAGTATGCTGTGGCTCTAGTGTCTAGAGCGCTAGCCTTAAGCAAAAGAAGCTCAGTGGCAGTGAGTTCAAGCCCCAAGACTGACAAAAATAATGTTATGAGCCCAATACACAAATAAGATTTTTATGTTTGGAGATTAAAAATTTTAAATAATGTGTACTTTTTCCTTTTAGTATTTAGCTTTGCAGGACCTGATGTTGCTTTCTCAGTATTCTCCCTCTCGAAGACAAGAAGTTTTTAGCCTTAGCCAACCAGGTATTACTAAAAATAGACTTGATTAGATATGTATGTGCATGTCTTCAAGAATATTTAAGTAGGAATTTTAATGCTACAAAGGGTTTTTTGTTTGTTTGTTTGTTTTTACAAAGGGTTTTTAAAAACTAGGTGGTCTAGTTTCTAGATGGTAAATATAACTCAAAGAGAGTAATGGCTTGAATTAATTCATTGTCAGAATTGGAATAAAAATTTTATTTGACTGAAAGTACAGAGCTTTCTTCCTGTGGTGCTTCTCTGCTTCCCTTTTAAAAAGTAGTCAGGATGTGGATTTGATGGTAGAAGGATGCTCTGGGCAGTCCTGACACACTTTATTTCCATTGCCATTTCCCAAGCAGTTTAAGACTGTACTTTGCCAGTGCTATCTCGTTCTTTTTTTTTTTTTTTGGTCAGTTGTGGGGCTTGAACTCTGAACCTGGGCACTGTCCCTCAGCTCTTCAGCTTAAGGCTAGCGCTCTACCACTTGAGCCACAGCGCCACTTCTGGTTTTCTGGTAGTTAATTGGAGATAAAAGTCTTATGGACTTTCCTGCCTGGGCTGGCTTTGAACCGTGATCCTCAAATCTCATTCTCCTGAGTAGCTAGGATTAGAGGCGTGAGCCACTGGTGCCTGGCCTGTGCTGTCTTGTTTTTAAAGGGGAATTATTCCAGCCCCAGCCACCAATGGGAACAAGGAACCCAGTAGTTTTTTATGTTTTAATTAGCTCTACATTATTTTGCCAAACTTGCCAATTCTCAAATTGTAAAAATATTTTCTATAGCTAAGTGTTATATGGAAATGAAATCTAGTTGTATAAAAATATGATTAATTGAAAAAGAAAAAAATAACAAAATTAATTGTTGGGTGTCATTGTTTCATGTTTATAATTCTAGCTACTCAGGAGCATGAGATCTGAGGATGATGTTTTGAAGCTGGCCCAGGCAGAAAGTCCATGAGACTCTGAATCTCCATTTAACTACCAAAAGCTGCAAATGAAAGTCTGGCTCATATGGCAGAGTGCTAATCTTGAGTGAAAGAGCTCAGGGACAGTGGCCAGGCCCTGCGTTGAAGCCCAAAGGCTGGGGAAAAAAATAATTGAAAGCCATTTTCCTTTTTGTTTTGTGAGAAATCCAGAGCTGACACTATGAAAAATTAATAGTACTTTTCTGTCAGACTTGTATTAGGAAATCTCTATTATTTTTCCAGAGATTCAGGGAAAGTAAACAAGTTTGTATGTCCTTTGCCAGAGAATAGTGAGTCACTCCTAGAGATATTAAATTTAGGGTATATTATTAAAATTAGACTAGAATATTATTACACAGTTCCTAGTGGTACAGTACAAAATGTCTGAGAGCTGGGAGTGTGGCTTAGTCATAGAATGCTTGCCTAACATGCATAAAGCCCTAGGTTTAATTCCTCAGTATCACATACACAGAAAAAGCCATAAGTGGTGCTGTGGTTCAAGTGTGCTAACCTTGAGCAAAAGCAGCTCAGGGACACTGCCCAGTCCCTAGGTTCAAGCCCCAGGACTGGCAAAAAAAAAGTCTGATGGAGTATTTTATATGGGTTTATTTGCACGTTAAATCATTTTCCTCTTAAGTTCTAAAAGGGTGAAGTGTTGTAGGAGGTGTATAGGTCAAGAGTAAATGATTCACACACAATAAGAGGAGTGTTTTCACTACTGTTCCCAATACATAATAAAGCAGTTTATGTATGTGTGTGTGTGTATCTATATATATATGATATAAGATATATAATCTCTTGGATACAAAGGTTTTTAGAAATCAAAAGGTAGTAAGAAGGTAATTTGACAAAGGAGTGAGGGTACAGTTGTATGTTAAATAAGGGCAGATATATAAACTCTTTATTTCTTTAGAGATAAAATAGAAACCATTGGCTCTTATACACAGTCCAAAACCTCTAGTGAATGTCTGAAGCTCTTGACAGTATTAAACCATGTATATATATATTGTGTTTTCTAATATGTACATACCTACAGTAAGGTTTGTAAAGTAAACACAGTAAGATTGATAGTAATAAGAAGAAAATAGAAAAATTGTTTACATTTTAAAAACCTTACCTGGTTTTCTTAGGTGGACATCCCCACAATTGGACTGCCATTTCCAGAGAATGTTTGAATCTTTTAAATGATATGACTCAGAAACTGGTTCTGTACCAAGAAGCTGCTGCTACCAATGGGAGGCTGTCTTCATCATATCCAGTAGAACCTAAGAAACTAAATTCCTCAGGTAACTTCTAGTAAGAGAGGGTAAAAACATTTGTATCCTTTTTCTTAATAAATGACAGTGATTAATCTAAGGTTATTTACATGAGTGTGAGGTGTATACTCTTAGGCAAGATTGAGCCAACATATAGAATGTTGCATCGAATCACCAAAAAGACATGGGTATCTTTTAGACTGAAAAAATTGTGGGTTGTGATGGCATACTCTGGTGATGAATGAGGTAAAGAAGGTAAGGCAGGAAGATAATGAGTTTGTGACCAGCCTAGGCTATATAAGCCCAGGCTAAAAGACCCTGTCTTAAAAATAAGCAATGCACAAAAGGACTGCAGGTTGTAGGTGTGGCTCAGCAATAGAGGACTTCACTACTCAGTGCAAGGTCCTGAATTAAAAAAAAAAAAAAAAAAACATGAGTATTTTATCATCTTTTGGATTTTATTTACTTTTTCTTTCGTTTTTTTGGGGGTGGGGAGGCGCTGAGTTTTTTTTTTTCCCCCCAGGGTAGTGTTCTACCATTTGAGCCACAACTCCACTTCTGGCTTTTTAGTGCTTAATTGGAATGAAGAATCTTATGGACTTTCTTGTCCAGGCTGGCTTTGAACCATGATCCTTCTGAGTAGCTAGGACTACAGGTGTGACCTACTGGTACCCAGCTTGAATGTTGATAATTTCTTATAGCCAGATATTGAATCCTAGTAGAAATAATGTCCTTAGCCTTGTGCTCTAGTGTCAGGAAAGTTCCCTTGTTAATACAATAGACCATAACTTGGTAGTTTTAAGGTGATAAGTTGTTGTTTTTTTGTTTTGTTTTGTTTTTGCCAGTCCTGGGGATTGAACTCAGGGCATGGGCACTGTTTCTGAGCTTCTTTTGCTCAAGGCTAGCACTCTACCACTTGAGCCACAGCGCCCCTTCTGGCCTTTTCTGTTTATGTGGTACTGAGGAATGGAACCCAGGGCTTCATGCATGCTAGGCAAGCACTCTACCACTAAGCCACATTCCTGATCCAATTAGTTTTGTTTTCTTTTCTGAGAGAGTAAATCTAGTGTCTCATGCATATTCAAGAAGCTTTCTACCACGGAACTACATGCAAACCTAATATAAAATAATTTTTTTTTTCTTTTAGTCAGTTGTGGGGCTTGAAATCAAGGCCTAGGTGTTGTCCCTAAGCTCTTTTCCTCAAGGCTAGCACTCTACCACTTTTTTTTTTTTTTTTTTTTTTGGTTGATCATGGGGCTTGAACTCTGGGCCTGGACACTGTCTCTCAGCTCTTCAGCTCAAGGGTAGTGTTCTTCCACTTGAGCCACAGTGCCACTTCCGTTTTCTGGTGGTTAATCCGAGATGAGAGTCTCTCAGACTTTCCTGCCTGGGTTGGCTTTGAACTGCTATCCTCAGTTCTCAGCCTCCTGAGTAGCTAGGATTAAAGATGTAAGCCACGGTGCCTGGCAGTACTCTACCACTTTGAGCCATAACACAACTTCTAGTGTTTGAGTGGTTAGAGATAAGAATCTCACATCTGTAATCCTAGCTTATCTGGAGACTGAGATCTGAGGATCAAGATTCCAAGCCAGCCCAGGCTGAAAAGTTTGTGAGTCTTATCTCCAATAAACTACTCAGAAAAAGCTGGAAATGGCTCTGGGGCTCAAGTGGTTAGTCTTGAGCACTAAGAGGCTCGGGGACAGCACACAGGCCATTAAGCCCCAGGACTAGCAAAAGAAAGTAAACTAAACCAGATATCATTGGGGTCTAACTGTTGTAGAGGCTGAGTTCTAGAGGACTGAGTTTCTAAGCCAGACCAGACAAAATATCTGGAAGACTCTAGCTCCAATTTACCAGCAAAAAGCCAGACTGAAAATATGGTGGCCCAAGTGGTAAGAGTGCTATCTCTGAACAAGAAAGCTTATCTAGAGTACAAGGCCCTGAGATAAGTGTTTCATGCCCAAAATAAGTGAATTGATGAGAATTCTTTCAAAATAACTTAGAGAAACTGGCCTTGAAGATCTAGATATTCATAGGGAGGGGAAAATAAATGGAGGTACACTAATCTGGCAGAAAAAGATATTTGAAAGACCACTCATTTAGTGGTCTTTAAATTGTAGAAAAAAAGTTTAGACTTTAAACCTGTCTAAAAACAATCTACGTAGCTTTAGATGTGTTAGACAAAAGAAGTGAGACACAAGAGAAGTCGAGAACCTTCATGCTAGCATGCTTGGCCTACACCACCTCTTTAACACTGCTTCTGTTCTTTTACAGAAGAAACTGCTCTTCAGACGCCAAAACCTAGCCAGATACCTCGATCATCACTACCACCATCAGCTAAAACTGCACTATTTTCTTCAAAATTATCTACACCTGATACTTCAAGTACCTTTGGGTCTCCTTTTGGCTCTAATATGGTGAATCGAATGGCTGGGATTTTTGATGCAAACATTTGCTATGCGTCATCACAAAGTCCTCTGCTAATAAGAAGAGGGCCAAGATTATGGACTTCTGCTTCTGGTGAGGAATACTTATTTCTTAAAACTTGAAATGCCCTACTTGCTCAGGACCAGACAGCCTAAGTTCTTATCTTTTTTTTTTTTTTTTAAATAGATGAGCAAATGTCTGGATTTTCTAATCTACCTCCATGCACCTCTATTAGTGCTAATGGTAAGACAGTAAGACAACCCAATGTGATCTATTCATGGATACAGAATAAGCGTGAACAGGTAGGATAATATGATTACAGAATTTGTATTTATTGGTATCTCTGTGTGTGTGCATGTGCATGTGTGCACACGTGCTGGACCTGGAACTTGAACTCAGGGCCTGGGTGCTGTCCCTGAGATTGTTTTTCTCAAGGCTAGTGCTCTACCACTTGAGCCACAGTGCTACTTTTGGCTATTTCTGCATAGTTTGTTAGAAATAAGGGTCTCGTGGACTTTCCTGCCTGGTCTAGCTTAAAACTGTGATTCTTTGATTTCAGCCCCCTGAGTAGCTAAGATTACAGATGTGAGCCACCAGCACCCAGCTTTACTGGTATCTTTTTAGAGCATTGAGGATTTCTGAGTAATAGAGGTGGTGAATTTGATCAAAGTAAGTTATGTATATGTGTGGAAATATCACATAAAACCCCTGTATACAACTAATGTACACTAATTAAAAAAAACAAAAAAAGCCTCCAAGGCTTTTACATGAGTAAATTAGCAGGAATAAATATTTTTGGCTCTTCCTGTATAAAGTTGGTCCATATGAAATGGCTAAAATTTGACTTGGAGTTATACAATCCGCAATTTCCTATGGCTTAACCAAATATAATGCTACTTGTCTGTGAATTCCTATACTTTAAATATAGTTTTAATTTAAAACATAGTTGGTGTTTTTTTGTTGTTTTTTTTGTCCTTTTGGTACTGAGGATCACCCAGGATGTTTTATTTGCAAGGCATACACTATACACTTTGCCACTGAGTTACATCCTAGCCCTAAGACACAGCTTTAAATGCTGGAAGCATCATTCAAACAAGTGGTAGAGTTTTTGACCCACAAGTGCAAATCCCTTAGTTCAGTCCTCAGTGCAACAAAAAGAGAAAAAGCAAATGAAATAAAACCTTGGTCATATAATGTTTATGTCCTAGTGAGGAGCAATAGACCAAGCAAATGTATAAAACTATATTTCTGTGAGATATAGATTGTTAGTAATTGAGATTGTAAGACATTCTAGGTACCATTGAGAACAAAAAGATGATTTAAACTATGATAATTACATCAACTATAAGATGCATGGTGAAATATGAAAACCAGGCTTACAAGGGAAGAATTTTGATGTTTTAAACATATGGAAAAATAGATCAGGTAAGGGAAGCAAAGTGCCTGGAGGAGGGAATGCCATTTTACATGCATTTATCAGGGAAGTTTCACTGAAAAGATGGCACTCAGAGACTTAAAGGGATAATAGGGAACAGCAAAATGCAAAGATTCTGAGGAGTGAGTGTGCTTGGCCTGCATAAGGGTTACGATGTGGCTGGAGCAGAGTGAGCAAGGGAGAATGTGAACTTGGTTGGAGGTCAGAGAGGTAGCAGGTACCCAGTGCTTATTGGGCTATTTGCTGGTATAAAGACTGGCTTTTCCCTTGAGGATATGAAAAACCACTGTATAGTTTTGTGCTTAAGAATGATATGCTGAACAGTCTCACGTCTTCCATTGTTTTCTCTCAGTTTTTTCCCTCTCAAGCCCTCCCCCACAAGTTGCAAAGTTCATTTTCAATATAGTGTCTAGTGAGTATCACTGCTGCATTTGTTCACCTTTTATCCACCATTTCAGTGCACCCGCTTACCCTCCCCATAATAGATAAACTTACATACAAGACAAAAGGTACAGAAATCAAAAACAGCGACAGAGGAGAAAAAAAAGAAGCAAAATAACATAAAACCTCGTTTCCGTTTCAAAGAAATATACTCATTACTTGACTCATGTAACCCCTCTGTACATCACCTTTACAATAACAATAAAAATTAAATAATAAAGAATTGGATAATAGATACTAAATAATTTAATAATAAATTATTATTTGATTATTTTACAATGAAAGAAAAAAAGAATGATGTGCTGTAACTTAGATTTTGGAAGCTGATCTAGCAGCTTGAGACCAGGCTTTAGAGTGGAAATTCAGTCTTCAGCAGCAGTGGAATCAGAGACACCGTTAAAGCTGCTGCAGTAGGTTAATGAGGATGCTGGGATCTGGGACTAGAAGGGTTGTGATGACAGCCATAAGATGTAATAGGATACCATTTTAATGCTTATAGACAGATGTAATAGGATGCTATTATAATGTTTATAATATGCTTGTGATAAATATGAAAATGTAAACTTGAAAGCTATTGGCCTGCGGAGCTGGAACAGGATAGTTGCAGTTCAGTTAGACAATTTATTCATAATCCTGGAGAAGTAGATTGATAGAGGTGATATGGGGAGCTCTAGAATTTGATTCTACATCTGATAACCTTGAGAAACTATTGGACAACCAAGTGAAAATTCTAAGGAAGTTACATGAGCATCTGGAATGTAGGGAAATTCTGATAAAAATTCTGATCTAAAAATGTACATTTTGAAGACATCAGGGTATAGATAGTGTCTGTTTTGGAGATGTCCAAAATAACCAGCAAAAAGCTGTTCTGGAAGAACTCTCAAGTAGTAGAACAATCAGCCGAACAAACCAAGCAAGCATGAGAACCAGAGTTCAAGCCTCAGTACTAATAAAAAAGAACAAAAAAGCTACCACTTTGTGTCTTTGGGCTTTCTGTTTTGTTATTTTGCTTTTTTTCTCTGTAGGGGATTCATATAGAGCACTGAGAAAGAATAGAGTCTTCTTGGAAAATACTACCTCCTTTTATCATAGCAGGGTCTGTTAAATGTGTGTACATGGGAACAGAGTATGATTTAGGTTAGATGATCCATCTTGATTATTCAATTGATAATACAAAGGTATTACTTACATAGATTATTGTAAGTATTATTCTTTGCTAATGTGGAATTATTTCCATTTAAGTTGATATCAGAAAAACCTAGAAATGTGTGATATATTTCAATAGAATTAAGAAAGAAAATGTGTTAATTCTTTCTTTTTTCTAATTTAGATTAAGAATTTCTTGTCCAAACGGGTGCTGATAATGTATTTTTTCAGTAAGGTAAGAATTGAAATTGGAAGTAGTGGATAGGATCTTGCCTATAAATATGTCTTGATCTTGGCAGGCCATGCAGCTTTGCCTAGTTCTTTCCTGGGCCTCTGTTAGAACAGTAGTCTTCCTAGGAACAGCTCACGTCAGTGCCTTCCTGAGCCTGGACTCTTTACTTGGCCTTCTGGCAGTTTTGTGCTAAAATGTGGCTTTGATCTTTTCATCTGGCTGCTTGGATCTTTCTAAAATGAGGAATCCATGGCTTTCTGGTGCATTGTGGCTCGTTTTCCTGTTAATATCTTTATGACCAAGAGAGAGACATTCAAAAGAGATCATTGAGTTAGATGACATATTAACTTTCTAATGGACAAAAAGATTGAATTTTAGGCTGGCCTGGGCTAAATAGGTTGTTGCGGAAAGGAAAATACACACACACATACACACACACTCACACACTTTCTGACTTGCCTGTCAGCTATTTCAGCTGCCACAGGGGAGTAAATGTTAAATCCAGAAACATTCATTCCTGTTTGCTTGGCTCTAGCAAAACTTACCCATATATAAAAGAAAATAATGCCAGGCGCCAGTGGCTTATGCCTGTAACCCTAGCTAGTTAGGAGGCTGAGATCTGAGGATCTCGATTCAAAGCCAGCCTGGGCAGGAAGTCTGTGAGACTCTTTTTTTTTTATTGTGAAAATACGTACAGAGGGGTTACAATTACATGGGCAAGGGCAAGATAATGAGTACATTTCTTATCAAGCATTGTAGCCTCCTCCTTTGTTTCCCCTTCCCCTCCCATCTCCCCCCCCCCCCCACGCCCCCACCAAAGTTGTAAAGTTCGTTTTCGACATAATGACTTGTACATCTCATTGTTGCAATGGGTTCACCGGTATCCCTATTTTAAAAATTTGTTTTTTTCCCTTCCCCTCCACAAATTATACCAACATCAAATACGGTGAAAGCAGGGGTTATACTCTGTGAGACTCTTATCTCCAATAAACCACCAGAAAACTGAAAGTGGTGCTATGGCTCAAGTGGTAGAGCGCTTGCCTTGAGCTGGAGAGTTGAGGGACAGCGCCCAGGCCCAGAGTTCTCAAGCCCCACGACCAACAACAACAACAAAAAAAGAAAACATTTTTTTGTTTTTAGTTTTTAAAATCTAATCTCTCTTGTTGCAAATATTACAATATTAGCAAGTGTGCTAATTTAGCACTCAGTACATTGAAGCCTGGCAGCATTTGTTATTCACTTTTATACTTGCTTAGTTATAACTTGGTGGGAAAGATATCTGAGCAACCCTAATAGAATGTAGTATGTCATTTCAAGTTCTCGAAACGACTTTTCACACCATTGTTCAAAGGTTCTCAAAAATGCTTTTTTAAAAGACTATAGTGGAAGGGCAACTCCACTCAGATTGCAGCTACTTTTTCTAAAAATAATCTACTTTGAGTTATTAGAGTAAAATGTCTTTCACCATGAGAATGAGCATTGTCCGAAGTTTCACTTCAGTACTTGGTTTCAGGAGGGGATGAAAATGTGCCCTAGTCTTTATCTATGCTCCATGTTCTTCGATATGTATCCCTCATTTCATGCAACATTCCTGTAAGATAGGTCATTCTGTCCTTCTTTTGCAGATAAGGCAATCAGATGCTCAGGGTCAAGTAGCTAGTGTAAGGCACATAGCCAGAGGACACTGACTAAAATCTCCTTTTCTCTTGGGAGTGAGTAGCTACTTTTGTTTCTAATTTTGCTAGTAGATTTGTTGTATGATAAGGAGATGATGACAACTGGTCTTTGTTGCTGAACTCATAGTTTAACAGGATTATTATATTGTACTTAATAGGCTTCATAGAGTGCCTAACCAAAACCAGTACTTGTTTCAGTGGGCCTGTTGTTGCTCTGCATTGTCTGACTTACATTTAAAGGTGAGTGGGTTTTCTTTGGAATGGAGTTGGACAGTTGACAATTTAAGAGAAGTAATAAATATTTAGGGAGTTCTTTTATTCATTTTTTAATTTTAAAAGAACTTTTTTTCCTTTTTTTTCTTTTTGTCAGTCGTGGGGCTTGACACTGGGCCTGGGTGCTGTCCCTCAGCTCTTCAGCTCAATTAAGGCTAGCACTCTACCACTTCCTTAAAAAAACTTTTTTAACCATCCTCTTGATTGATTTCTGTACTAATTCTTTTTAAAAAATAATTTTTACTAACACTGCAGTGAGTAAAAGGTTACAGTCTCTTAAAAATATTCCAGAATCTACTATGAGAAAAGGCACTAGGAAGTAAGTATCAAAGAATAACAGCTTATGGGAGTTCATGTAGTTTTTACTTTACATGAAAAACTGGAGCACTTAGAGATTTAAAGGCTTGGTGAGGGCCATGCTGTAAGTTGATGTCAAAAATGCTATATTATAGTTAAAACACTGTGTAAGACTTATTTCAGATTTTGATTCTTGAGAGCCTCCTGTGAATCTTTTGTTATTTTACGTAATTAATAAAATGACATAGTGTAGTTTTTATTCAGGAGAACTTAAATGTTTTTTTTTGTTTTTTTTTTTTGTAGCATCCAGAGGCCTCCATTCAAGCTGTTTTTTCAGATGCCCAAATGCATATTTGGGCATTAGAAGGTAAGTAATCTCTGAACTATAACTTTTTTATTTTTTAATTTTTTTATGCCAGTCTTGGTACTTGAACTCTGGGCCTGGGTGCTATTCCTAAGCTTCTTTTGCTCAAGACTAGCACCTGAGCCATATCTCCACTTCCAGCTTTTTTGGTAGCTCATTAGAGATAGGAGTTCTCAGGACTTTCCTGCCCAGGCTGGCTTGAACTGCAATTCTCAGATCTCAATCTAATGAGTAGCTAGGATAACAGGTGTGAGCCACAGGTGCCTGGCTTGGACTTTTTTTTTTTTTTTTTTGGGTCCGGTTGTGGGGCCTGAACTCTGGGCTTGGGCGCTGTCCCTCAGCTCAAGGCTAGTGCTCTACCACTTGAGCCCCAGCACCACTTCCGGCTTTTTCTTTTTGTTTATGTGGTGCTGAGGAATTGAACCCAGGGCCTCAGGCATGCAAGGCGAGCACTCTATCACTGAGCCACCTTCCCAGCCCCCCGCCTTTTTTTTGTTGTTACCCAGTTGTGGAGCTTGAACCGAGGGCCCATGCTCTGTCCTTGAGCTTTTTTTTTTTTTTTTTTTTGTGCAAGGCTAGTACTCTACCACTTGAGCCCCAGCCTTACTTCCAGCTCTTTTGGTAATTAATTCGGGATGACTCTTAAGGATTTTCCTGCCTGGACTGTCCTTGAACCTGAGTATCTAGGATTATAGGCGTGACCCAGTTAGCATTTTTATATAGTAACCTTTTTATATCTTAAAAGAAGATCACCGTTAGATATTTAGCTTTAAAATTGCCCTCAACTCCTATTGAACCCAAGGCCTCGCACCTACTAGGAAAGAGTTCTACCACCAACCTATATATCAGCCCTAGGTGTATTTTGATTTTTGGGAAAAATATTTCTATATGAGTAGAGCCTGAATTCTTGTATATCTTTACTTCAAAAATATGCAATAGATGGATTTTAACTTACTGTTAATTTATGTTATATGAAATACGAAGATTTCATTGCTAAAGAACTGTTACATCTTATTTCTCTGTATACCAGGCTGGCCTTGAACAGGTGATGCTCCTGCTTCAGCCTTCCTAGTGCTGGGATTATAGTTGTATGCTGACATGCAGAGCTCTGTTTTATAGATACTGCTGTCTCAGTGCTGTCTCAGTGATAACCGACAGAGGCCTTTTCTGACCATCCTGTGAAAAGTGTCTACCTCATAACTTGTTTTATTCTTTTGTTTTTCTTCCTATCATAACTTAGCATAAGTATATTTGTGTGTGTGTCTGCTTGTCGGTCTTGGGGCTTGAACGCAGGGCATGGGTACATCCCTGAGCTTTTTTGCTCAAGGCTAGAGCTCTACCACTTTGAGCCACGGTTCTACTTCTGGTTTTTAGGTGATTAGTTGGAGATAAGAGTCTCGAGGACTTTTCTGCCCATGCTGGCTTTAAATTGTGATCCTTAGATCTCAGCCTCCTGTGTAGCTAGGATTACAGGTATGAGCCACCAGTGCCCAACTATAGAAATAATTTGTAACTAAAGCAGTACTAAATATCTTTTTAACACTTAACTCCCATCTTTTGTCCATTTTTGTATTGTCTCTTTCCTCTTTATAATTGTATATGGCAGATTGATTTGTCTGGTTTTGACATACTTTTTCTCTTTTCCTCTTGAGGTCTGTCTCACTTAGTAGCAGCATCATTCACAGAAGATAGATTTGGAGTTGTCCAGACTACACTACCAGCTATCCTTAATGCTTTATTGACACTGCAAGAGGTAAGTGATCTATGTTGTGCTGGGTATGGGTAGAAGTTAACTACCTTCTAGCTTTCCTATTATTCCTTATCATTCCTTATTTATCTAGTAAGCAAACATGTTGGAAGTTATAATGATACTGTTAAATTTCAGTCTGGAGGAGAGAGAACAGAAAGATAAGCTTCTAATTTGCTTATAAAGTTTTATAGAAACAAAAAAAGTACCAAACCTGTAGGATATAAATCTGATAGTAAAAACTTAAGTTAGGATATGAGAATTCTGTTTGGTGATGTAGATTTGTATTTTACACAGTTTGTAGTTACCGAAAGTGGCCTGTGATTAATTTACACAGTCATAAGTTCCCTTTTGGTCTGAGGCCAAGACGTTTGGCCAGTGGATGTCCATCCCAGCCTGGGTAGTTGTTTTTAAGTATAAGTCTTGTAGTCAGGAATTACAGAAAGGCAGAAAAATAAAATCCATGCTTTCTGGTTACAGGTAGGTTTCCTTTTCTAACTTTATGCCAAGAGACATTTTAGCACCTTATGTTATTGGTTATGTCACAGGAAAGGAACAAACACTGAGTACTTGAAGCATTTAGAAGTAGTAGTTGAGGAGTGCAATATTCTTACTATAGAAGGTATTTTGGAGGATAACAATTGGTACATCTTTTGATTTGGGGAAGCCACTTAAGATAAGAAAACATGTTCTATAGTTCCTCTCCAAGATTCAATTTATTTTACCAAGGAAAGTCTTACTCATCAAAATCAGTGATTGTATTTTTATGGCTTTTGTTTTGTAACAGAAGTATTTATTTTTTGTTTTTGTGCCAATATTAGGGCTTGAAATCAGGGGAACCCGTTCTCCCTGAGCTTTTTTGTTCAGGCTAGCACTCTACCAGTCTATGGATATTTAATTGGAGATGAGAGTCTCACAGACTTTCCTTCCCAGGCCAGCTTCAAACATGCAATCTTCAGATCTCAGCCTCCTGAGTAGCTAGGATTACATGTGTGAGCCACTACTGTCTGACTCACTTCTGGCTTTTGCTGGTTAATTGGAGATAGAGTCTCCTGGACCTTCCTATGTGGGCTGGCTTCAAAGCATGATCCTCAGATCTCAGCTTTTGTGGTTTTGAAAATGTCTCACTATGTAGATTAGACTGGCCTTGAATTTCTTATGTAGTCCAGGCTAGCCTTGGCCTCAACCTTGTAATTCTTCGCCTTAGCCTCTTCAGCACTAGGATTACAGGTAGTAGTGTACCATTATGTAGGACTGCTCTGTGTGTGTGTGTGTGTGTGTGTGTGTTTGTGTGAGAGAGACAGAGACAGACAGACAGAGGCAGAGAGACAGAGAGAGGGCTCCTGGGTCTTCAACTAGAGGCCTTGGTGCTGCCCATGAGCTTTCGCTTAGGGCTAGTGCTCTACCATTTGAGCCACATCACCACTTCCAGATTTTAAATAGTTTACCGGAAATAATAGTCTCATGACTTTCCTGCTCAGGCTGACTTTGAACTGTGACCCTCAAATCTCAGCCTCCTGAATAGCTAGGATTACAGGTGTGAGCTACTGGTGCCCTACTTGTTTGTATTCTTTGTACCTATTTTTTCATGCGTAATATGTGAGATAAATCTTTCCACAGGAGTAGTTCTATTATTTGTGCTCTTTGCCAGCTACCTTTCTTCTACTGAAATAGTTTCCTACTAATTCCCTTCTAATATTGTCTTAACTTTCTATTCTGTCTGGCAAGCATGATTTTAGCTTATCTTCTGTTCTTATAACCTGATCCTAATTCCTGTCTTGTGAAGTAAACAGAATAACACTATTTTACAGATAAGGGAGGCTCAATAATACAGTGACTTATCTCATAGCCCACACAAAAATCATATAAGTGGCAGATCTGGGGCTTGAACCTGTTGTAATTACAGGGTGTTAGCTTTGTAGTAGACTCCAGGAAAAACTGCAGATCTATATTTCCTACTTTTCCTAAACTTGTCTACTATTGTGTCCTGGTTTTTTGTTTTTGTTTGTTTTGTTTTTGTTCCTTCTACATAGGACTTGAGAGAATGAATGATCCACAGTATGCTTATGACTCAGGAAGGGAGAAACAGAACCAAGATTCCTGGCACAATACTTAACCTTTATTGTGTGTAGTGCACTTTTAGTATTTTCCATTCTCTTTCTTTAAAAAAAAAAGTCTGATTGTGTTGGATGTGGTAAGCTTATACCTGTAATCCCAGCCCTTGGGAGACTGAGGCAGTAGGAACCTGAGTTTCAGGCCAGCTTGAGCTACATAGTAAGACTCTGTGTCAACAAACTCAAAATGACAATAGTAATAATAATATGCTCATTGGAACTCACTAAAATGATTTTATAAAGATTTTACTGCCATAGAAGTATTCTACACCAAAACGACTGTATTTTTTCTTCCTCTTACTATCAGAATTCCTAGTTTATTGAAAGGAAAAGAGTGTCTGTTTGATTGTAGTTATTTATCCCTCTGGGTAGGAGGGTAAGAAATATAGATTTGTTAAAAAGTCAGGAAATAGCTCAAGTGGTAGAGTGCTTACCTAGCAAGCACAAAGCCCTGAGTTTAAACAATAGTACCATGAAAAATGGGAGGCTGGGGAGGCAGGAGGTGTAGCTCAAGTGACAGAGCTCCAGCTGGGAGTAAAAAAGTTGAATAGTGCATGACCTTGAGTTCAAGTGCCAGTACCAGTGCATGAACATGCGTGCCCCTGCGCGCGCGTACACACACACACACACACACACACACACACACACACACACACACACACACACACACACACACACACACACACACACACACACACACACACACACACACACACACACACACACACACACACACACACACACAGCGATCAGGCCTTACTTTAAAATAAAATAAAGGAGGAGTTGGGACAGAGAATGTGTTTGAAGGGCAGAGTACAAAGAGGCAAGAAGGTTTGTTTTAGGGTGCTGAGAAGATGTTATTGAGACACATAACAGGACCAGTAAGCTGATATTTAGCTTCTAAGTACTAAACCCCTCCAAAGCTGCTGGATTGCTTTATTTTTGGTTAAGTGAATTCAGACTTCTCTTCCGGTGTCTGAATTGAATGACAGTTCTGATGAAATGGGTTGATTATAATTTCCCCATACTGCCTTTTTTTTTTAAGAAAGAAGGGATCTGTTGTGACTCATGGATGTATTCCATTATATGGTTTTAGATCTAGAAGGCATACTTAATGAAGAGAGCAAATTCCAAGTATCTGTAATTTAAGGCAAGTTGCACAATATCAGCTTCTGGGAGTTACTAAGGAACAATTGAATGGCACCGTTTTGTTCTTTTGTTTTACTTCTCAGTATCAATAACATCAGTCATTTCCCTGTGAATCATTAAAGGCAAAACATGAAAGGAAAGGGAAACCATTTGCTCTTCAACTATTCAGAGGGCAAGGAGTAGAATGGTTGCTGTCTAAAGTAGTGGTTCCTACCTGCAGCCATCCGGAGACACCACAGTTATTACAAGGGATTCATGAGTCTGGACACATTATGGTCACCTGATAATTAACATGTGTCCTAACAGGCTTGCAGCTATTTCTCAGAGGTTTCTCCATGCTGAATTCATAGTAATTATTTATTTCCCTCCATCAGGGAATAAAGAAGAACTATTATTCCATGAAAATTCACAAATTAAAAATTTTTTTTATTGTGATTGATTACATAAATTTCACAAATCTCATAGTATTGTGAGACAGTGATACTTAAAGTCACAAACACATTCTAACCTTCATGAGGCAAGTTGTCATTATCATGGTCTATAAAGTTTGTGAATTCTATGAACTTTGACAATACAGCTATTTCTTCCACATTGGGTGATAGGTACATTTCTTTCCTTTTTGCTTAGTGTTAGCAGTTCCCTCTATCCCTTTTATTCCCTTCCTCCCAACGCTGCCCTTGAGTTGCTTAGTTCATTTTCATCAATGTCCTGTGCAGCTGATGGGTCCCTCTGTTGTATGTTTTCCCCTGTTTCCCTGTTTCTGTGTCCTCCTAGTTCCCCTCAGATGTGTGTATATATACCATATATATGGTCAGCAGCATGGGGTCATTTAGTAATGATATGACAAGATGAGTGGCGGTCCTTTGTTTCTCGAGTCCTGTTTACTTTGTCATAGCTCCTTACATTTTGTATTTAACATCCACATTTCAGGGAAAGCATGTGCCATTTGTCTCTTTGCTGTTGGCTTACCTCACTCAAAATGATTTTTTTCTAGTTCCATCCATTTCCCTGTGAATGCTATTATTTTGTCCTTTCTAATGGATACATAATATTCCATTGTATATAGGTAACACAATTTTTGGATCAATTCATCTGTAGTGGGGCATTTGGGTTGTTTCTCTATCTTGGCTATTGTGAACAGTGGGGCAATGAACCTGGATGTGCATGTGTCCTTGTATGTGCATGTATTCCTGTTTTTTAGGGTAGATGCCTAGGAGTGGTATGGCTGGGTCATAGGGAAGGTCTATATTTAGCTTTCTGAGGTACCTCTGGACTGCTTTCCACCAGCAGTGCAATAGGCTTCCTCTTTCTCCACATCCCCTCCAGCATTTTTCCTTGGCTAAATTTAGGATGCGAGCCATTCTGACTGGGGTAAGGTGGTATCTCAGTGTTTTTTATTTGCATTTCCTTTACAGCCAGGGATGGTGAACATTTCCTCATGTTTCTTTACCATTGTTATCTCTTCTTCTGAGAAGTCTCTCTTTAGTTCCCTTGCCCACTTAGTAATTGGTTTGTTAAGTTTGGGAGGGATTGGTTTCTTGAGTTCCCTGTATATACTAGATATTAGGCCCTTGTCTGATATATTGCTGGTAAATATTTTTTCCCAATTAGTTGGCTTTCTTTCTAGTTTGGTTGCTAGGTCTTTAGCTTTGCTGACACTTTTTATTTTAAGGTAGTCCCATTTGTCAAGTCTCTCTCAATTTGTTGCGACTCTGGGACTGTTCAGGAAGTTCCTGCCTATGCCTATAAGAAACTTTCCTACTCTGTCCTGCAGTAGTTTCAGGTTTGATGTTGAGATCTTTAATCCATTATGAGTTGATGTTAGTACATGGTGACAGGCTGGGTCCATTTTTAGTTTTCTGCATGTGGCTCCCCAGTTTTCCCAGCACCAGTAGTTAAAAAGGCTATGCTTCTTCCACTGTATGTCTTTGGCTCCTTTGTCAAATATCAGATGACTGTAGGAGTGTGGTTTTATTTCTGGATCTTCTAATCTATTCCATTGATCTTCCGGTCTGTTTTTGTGCCAGTACCAAGCTGTCTTTGTTATTATGGCTCTATAGTAGAATTTGAAGTCCGGCATAAGTCCAGCATGTTGTGTTTTTGGCTTAAAATGTCATAAGTATCTTTAAATTTTTTTTATTATCTTTAAGTTGCACAAAGGAGTTGCCATTTAACAAAGCAGCTTGTGAATACAATATATCTTGATCATTGTCACTCGTTTCATCATCCTTACTCATTCCTCCCATACCTACCCTTCCCCCCTATTCTTTTTTTTTTTTGGGTCTGGTCGTGGGGCCTGAACTCTGGGCCCGAGCTCTGTCCCTCAGCTCTTCAGCTCAAAGCTAGCGCTCTACCACTTGAGCCACAGTGCCACTTCCGGCTTTTTTCTTTTTGATTATGTGGTGCTGAGGAATCGAACCCAGGGCCTCAGGCATGCAAGGCAAGCGCTCTACCACTGAGCCACTTTCCCAGCCCCTTTCCCCCCTATTCTTAATTTTATAGGATATACATTGGATCCTTGTCTATTTTTCTCCTTCATTTCCACTTTATTCATCTATTCCTTTCCCTTTAATTCCACCCCACAACTTTTGAGTACCTGCGTCCTGGTGTTTTATTTTGCTGAACTTTGATTTTAGCTCTCCAAAATTTTTTTCACTATTTGAGATCTCCCTTAAATCTACTGTGTTGCAGCTGATATATTTGTATATTCTTGCATACTATTCAGTGTGGATTTTTTTTTTCTTGAAGCAAGGGAATTTGTTATGTGGGGCTTATTTTTTCCATTATTTCATCTTTTTTTGTAAGTTTGACAATTTCTTTTTTTTTTTAAATGTTTTTTACTGTAAAAATATAGAAGGGTTACAGTTACATGAGCAAGGTAATGAGTACATTTCTTATTCAGCATTGTTGCCTCCTCCTTTGTTTTTCCCCTACTATCCCGTCCCTCCCACCTCCTCAACTATTATCCCCCATCACTCCTTCGCTCCCCCCAGCCTCCAGTAAAAAGGATCCTTATATAAAAAGTTGGGGGCACAGGAAATACTGTTTTTTTTTTTGTCAGTCCTGGGACTTGAACTCAGGGCTTGGGCTCAGTCTCTCCTTGAATTTCTCTATGCTCAAGGCTAGCACTCTACCACTTGGGCCATAACACCACTTACAGCTTTTTCTGAGTAGTTTATTGGAGTTAAGAGTCTCACGACTTTCCTGTCTGGGCTGACTTCACCATGATCCTCAGATCTCAGCCTCCTGAGTAGCGAGGATTACAGGTATGAGCCAGTAATACCTGGCTAGGAAATACTCTTTTTTTTTTTTTGGTTCCGGTCATGGGGCCTGAACTCTGAGCCTGGGCGCTGTCCCTCAGCTCTTCAGCTCAAGGCTAGCGCTCTACCACTTCAGCCACAGCACCACTTTCGGCTTTTTTCTTTTTGCTTATGTGGTGCTGAGGAATCGAACCCAGGACCTCATGCATGCAAGGCAAGTGCTCTACCACTGAGCCACCTTCCCAGCCCCTAGGAAATAACCTTGTAAGTGAATGTTATGAAAATACAAATGATTGGGACTTAAAGTTTATTGAATATGTAGAACATCAAATCAATTTTGTTCCTTCTCCAAAACTAAATAACTATTAAAATATATGAGTCCTTACTCCTTATTTCCTACACAGGGAGCAAGAAATGTTTCTCCCTTTTTTTCATCTTTCCCTACTTAATCCTGTCTCACTAAAGTTCTTATTCATGCACGTGCACATATGTGCACATAACATATCCATAAACCGGAAAGGAGCCAATAACTTTTTGAAACTGAAAACCAGTTGATTGAGATAACTCACTTATCATATCCCCAGAGGAAAGCCTGAAATTGGTAGTGGAAAAGCACTGGTACCTCTGAAGTCAGGGGTGAAGAACCAGATAATAAAATATAGAGATTTAGGTGAGAAGTTTGAAAAACAGTTAGATTCCTAGATTCCCTGCTATTGGCTTAATTCCTCCTCCATTCCAGGCTGTGGTTTATCCTTTGGAGAGGGAAAAACATGGTGCTAGAGGGGGAGTCCTGAAAGTTATAGAGACTGTGCTGCCGTTGTAGAACACAAAGGGCTACTAAGCCTGCAGGCAGGGTACAGGAGACTCTTCGCTGAGAGGAATGCACATGATCCAGGGAGAAAGCCCTTAAGGAAATGAGTCAATAGTCCACCCCAGGGTCAGTGCTGACCACCTACAGTGAAGGCTGTTGTCAGTGGTACCCTGTTGCACACACTTCATTTCTTATTTTACCAAATATAATAGAATCACTTTCATTTTTAAATTCTCAGTCTTATCTACTCTTATTTATAAGTGCTTTATCATCTAGAATTGAAAAAAGACAAAATTTTGTGTAAAATTTAATTTTTTGATTTTTTTTTTTTCTGATTCTAGTCCTTCTACTTATCACCCAATCAGAGTACAGTATATCAGTGCCTTGCTTCCTAGATTTGTATTTTTAAGCTCCTACTTAAAGGGCTGGTCTGGACTTCTGCTGAGCCCAAGTAACTGCTGCAGTTGCTGATCCTTCCTTGTTTTTCAAACAGTTGTGATTGTATCTCATTAAGAACCCATGCCAGGCGGGTGCCAGTGGCTCATGCCTGTAATCCTAGCTACTCAGGAGGAGTTTGAAGCCAGCGTGAGCAGGAAAGCCCAGGAAACTTGTATCTCCAATTAATCACTATAAAGACAAAAGTAGAGCTATGGCTCAAATGGCAGAATATTAGCTTTGAGCACAAAAGGTCAAGGACAGCACCCAGGCTCTGAGTTAAAGCTCCATAACTGGCAGGTGCATGCATGTGCACACACGCGCACACACAAAGAACACACATGCTTGTGGAATCTTCCTTTGTATCTAAAATGAAATTTTATTATGTATTGGACTGAATTGGCTTTCTTGATACCCTGAATTGGTATGTTTTCTCTTTCTTGGTCTAGGCAGTGGACAAGTACTTCAAGCTTCCTCATGCTTCCAGTAAACCACCCCGGATTTCTGGAAGCCTTGTGGACAGGTCTTATAAAACATTAAGATTTGCATTTAGAGCATCACTGAAAACTGCTATCTATCGAATAACTACTACATTTGGTGAACATCTGAAGTAAGTTGACCCATTCTTATCCATGATAATAGTCTACTTGCAGGAGTTCTCTGAGAGGTATGAGAGTTACAAAGGCTAATATGTTAAAAGTGCTATTTTGTAGCACTCCATTATTAACAAAGGGAGGACAGAAAGTACTAAAATTAGCAAATGTAATTTTACACAAACATATATACATGTAAACATAGTATGTATGTGAGTATATACATGTATATACATACCAGAAGGTAATTTAAAAAATAGTTGTTTCCAAGAGAAGAAAAGGCAAAAAACTCACAACTACCTTTCCAGAAAAGCCTATTAAAAATAATTCTGTTGTTCATGTTGAGTGAAGACTTGGATGAACAGAGTGTTCCATAAATGAGGCCATGGTGTTTTGTGAATCACACTGGAAAATCACCTTCTGAAACTAAGCAGAGAGAAAACCACCAGTGCCAAATTAGTTTATATTAGTGTCATTGATGTTTAGTGCTTTGTTACCATGAAATTATCTATCTTAATTAAATTATGTTTTTCATAATTATAAATGAGCTGTAGAAGGCATAAAAGATTTCTCTGCTTTTTCTGTATGCAGTCAATAAAATTTAGGACTTCCTCATCCTACCTACTTATAGAAGCAAGGAGTATATACATGTATTTACTTGCAAAATACACACCAGTAGAGAGAGCATTTATGGAGTACTTTGGTTCTGTATGGGGATATAAAATTGCTGTAGATAACCCTATATCATTAAAGCCTTTATTAACTTAATTAAAAACAAACAAAACTATTAACTTCTAGACCTGTGCTGTCCAATATGATAGTCACATATTATAGTTTTTCACTTGCATTTCTCAAAGATCCTGTGAAGTATAGAGATTAACCAGATTGTACAGATGTAGAAACTGAGGTGCAGAGAGGATAAATCTTGCCTGAGAGAACAGTCTAATGCATGTTAGAACATGAACCGGAAATCAGGTCTTTCTTGCTCTTAAAAATCTGCCTTTCCATCTGCAACATTAGTTTACCTTGAAAATACAAAGTGGCATGTAAGATATGCTCAGGGTACATTCATTGATGAGTTTAGAGAATGAAATAGATGTTGAAAATCAGGGAGAAAAGAGAAAATAAAGTGACGCTGTGGCTCAATTGGTAGAGTGCTCCCCTTGAGCTGAAGAGCTCAGGGACAGCACCCAGGCCCAGAGTTGAAGCCCCAGGATGGACAAATAAAAAAGAGGAAACAGAGACTAACATAAGAAAGAAAAAGTGATGGCTGATTAAAATGATAAGAATGGAATTCCTCCATTTTTCCTCTGAGAAAAGCCATATTTAAATATGTACTCAGCTGATGAATAGAACCTACTTTATACGAATAGGGGAGAGTGGTATGGTGGAATGTTAGCTCTAGTTATATCTGGTTATATCATTGACTCTTGTTTGTAGGTGAGTTACCTAAGGGGTACCTCACCCAAAGTTATGTAGGTAGTAAGTTATTGAACCTGCATTCAGACCCAAGTCTTTACAACCATGGGGCTTTATTGTTTCTTCAGTACCCTGAGCCTTTTTGATGCTGATTATTTGGTTTTCTTTTTTTTTTTTTTTTTTTTTGGGGGTCCGGTCGTGGGGCCTGAACTCTGGGCCTGGGCGCTGTCCCTCAGCTCTTCAGCTCAAGGCTAGTGCTCTACCACTTGAGCCACAGCGCCACTTCCGGCTTTTTTTTTTTTCTTTTTGCTTATGTGGTGCTGGGGAATGGAACCCAGGGCCTTAGGCATTGCATGGCAAGCGCTCTACCACTGAGACACCTTCCCAGCCCGATGCTGTTTATTTGGTGTTGATAGAGATAAAATAGATAATACATATGTAAAGTCCACTAAATGTTGTATATTGTGACAACTCACTATCCACTCCCTGAACTCTTCAAGAACCAGGTACCAAGAAATAAGCTCTTGAGCTTTGATAGTTAATTAAGGCCAATTACTCATTAGAGATGTTTATTTAGCACCTGCTTACTCTTTTTTTAAAAAATACATTGTATAGGGTATATTTGAGGTTTAAAACATATTATAGAATACATTTAATAGTAATATGGTTATGATAGTGAAGCAAATCTCACAGCTACTTTTTCCTGAGTGACACAAATAGTTAAAAATCTACTTATTTAGCAAAAAGGCCTATTATAATAGTTCTTTTAATTAGAGTCCCTATGTTGGATCAGCAGATTTACTGTCCTACATTTCTTCTATGTATCTTTGGGCCTGCATCTTTTTTTGCTGGTCCTGAGGCTTGAATTCAGGGCCTGGGCACTGTTCCTGAGCTTCTTTTGCTCAAGGCTAGCATTCTAGCACTTGAGCCACAGTGCTTCCAGCTTTTTTATTGGAGATGAGAGTTTCATGGACTTTCCTGCCCAGGCTGGCTTTGAACTGTGATCCTTAGATCTCAGCCATCTGAGTGGCTACGATTACAGGTGTTAGCGCCTAGCATCTACATTTTTCTCTCTCCTCTCTTTAAGCAGATTTAATTGAGTTCCATCCTATATCAGAGTTTACTTGCAGGGCAGAGGTTGTTTTGAGAGTCAAGAGTACTAGCAACAAATAGTAAGTGATAATTTAGTGGAGGGGAGAATCATGGGAAAAGCCCCAGATAACCGTGTTTGAGAGTTCATACCTAGAGGGTACTTGAAATGATTCCATTAGAGGTAGCTAAATGGTGAAGAGATATGTAGAAGGCATTTTAAGATGTTTTATAACAAAATTATTAAAAGAAGGTTTTTGGCATCTTCAAAGCAGGTGATTTTTTTATCTTTTAGAATTTTATCACTCAGTAATGATACATTATTATTTAAGAACTAGATTATCACAATCCTTTTTACTTAATTTTTGCCCAAAGGTTTTAAAGAGAGTTTTATACTAGTTTCAATGTGTATTTACCCTAATTTTGTTAAAGTAATGTGTTTTCATGAGAGTGGAGAGAACCATCCAGAACATTATGTGTGTTCAAAGGGAAGAGTAAATCTAAACCACCAAGCTGTTACCTTTGAAAGCGATTAATGGGGTCTATTGTGTTTTAACCAAACATTTTAGTTTAAAGGATTTTATATTAAAGGCAATTCACATACTCTACAATTCAAAGATAATGTTCAGATCTGGTTTAAATAAAGTAATAAAATCCAGAACATCTACTACAAGGCCTGGAACTCTGCACAGCAGGTTCCACAGCAGAGCAGGTTAAAATCGATGCCTTCACTTGTCAGTCTTAATTTGCTTTGGTCTTTTAGAAGGTAGAAGTATGCCATTACTGAATGCAGACCCTCCTCTTCATTAGATTAAAAAAAAGGTTTTCATCCAGTTTTTTCAGAAGTACTAAATAAGTGGGGATTTCTATTCATTTTTAATTGTTTTGAAAAATATTGACTCTGTGCTCTGTGGTTCACTTAATATGCTTAATGTAAAATAAAGCTTATGCTTTGCATTTATGTTTCATTTAGTGCTGTGCAAGCATCTGCAGAACATCAGAAAAGACTTCAACAGTTCTTGGAGTTCAAAGAATAGTTAAGTAATATAAACTGTGTTCATTACACTGCTGATACAACTACAGATGGGACAGTAAATGTTCAGCATTCTTGGATCAGAAGAAAATGGACTAATTAGATGCTTCCTTTGTCGTGGTGGTTGCTTTGAAAACTATACTTTAATGGGAGAAATCATGGAAAGAAATTCTCAGCAGAATAACTGAAAACTGCCTTTTCTGTACCCAATGCTTTTTGTGTGTGTGGTATAATAAAATCTTTATTCAATTTTACAGGAGCATCTATGGCAATAGAAATGGCTCTAGCTCATATAACTTAATAATAACTCAAAAAAATTTAGAATTTACTTTTGAAAGGAGTGGAGTCAGTTTTGAAGTTAAAATAGGTTGTCTTGATACAGTCTTCCATTCCAAGAGTTTAGCTTTCTGTAAACTTGAAATACATAAACTTAAGATTAGTTTCTGTTTACTAAAGGATAAAAATGATAACAATGGAGAAAAATTTACAGTAAAAATATAGTCTAAAGGACATATTTTGTTAATCTGTTAGGTTGTGTTTTTGTTTCCAGGAACAAATTAAATTTGCATGATTGTCCAAAAAAAGTCTCAATTTACAGATGCTAACTCTATATAAAGGAATGTGGAAAAAAATCAGTTCTTGTTACAAGAGTAAACATTCACAGTAGGTTTTTGAGAAACAATTGACTGACATCTTTGAATTTATTTTATATCATGTTGGTAAACAATAAATGTCTGGGTATTTCCCCAACTAGTTTTGCTTGCTTTTTCTGGAACAAAACATTAAATGATAGTAGTTTCTCAAGGGAGAGAGAAAGTTTTGCAAGAAAAACCAGGAAACTTTCTTTCTTCTTCTACATTCATCTTCATTAGATCAAATTGTTTAGTGAAGTTAATCTGGCCTCACAGAGGGAGCAGCCTCTTCTGTGTTAACTGGCTAATTAAAATATAATAGGAAGATCTTTAAAAGCCAGAAACAACTTAGTCATCAAATAGCAAGTGAAACCAAAACATCAGAGGGATTACTACTTGTGAGTTATAGTCCCAAATGTGAGCGAGCTGATTTTATAAGTTTTTAGATCTACTACTTTGGAGATGAAAGATTGGAGTCCTGGTGCTAGATATTCATTGACTGGCTTTAAACTAAACTTATTCATAATTCTTTCCTATTATCTCTTCCCTCAAGTCCACATAGTACTTTATATGAATCTTTAATGTGGTATATATGTCTTCCATTTGTCTGCTTCATTGATATATTATATCTTTACAATAGTGTATTTTAGCTTCAGGACCTATTACCCCTTAAACCAGCACATGCGAAATTATAACTGAATCCTGCTGGTCTTTAAAGTGTCTTTAAGGAACAGTTCCCCAATTGTGAAGTGTTTGGGTATTTAAGCCTCCCCACCACCCCCAAAATGTCTGAGGTTGAGTTGATCTCTTTTTGAAAGTGAAAGTTGAATTTTAAATATGGTAGTTTCTTATAGATAACCAGAAAATTCTGGCTAGCTTAACTAGAAACTGTTGCATTCCATATATTAAAGCCATAAACTCTCTCCTTTTCTCTTTCTCTTCCTTTCTCTCTCTCCCTCTCCCTCTCCCACCCTCCTTTCTTTCTCTGTGTATATGTATGGGTATGCGTGCAGTACTGCGGATTGAACCCTGGTGTTGTTTGCTAGACAAGCACTATACACTTGAACTACATCCTGTCTTTTTGTTTGTATTTTCCTTTTGAGATAGGGTCTTGCTGACTTTGTCCTAGTGGGCCTGGAACTAGAGATCCTCCTGCTTCTGCCTCTCAAGTAATTTTGATTATAAATTATGACACCATGCCCAGCTTTAATTCATAAGCTATTTATATTTTTTTGGCTGCCTCTGACTGAAGCCTTTTGGAAAATAAGTCTTTGTTTTTTGTTGTTCTGGTTTTTTTGTTTTGTTTTGTTTTTTGGTCATGGGGCCTGAACTCTGGGCCTGGACGCTGTCCCTCAGCTCTTCAGCTCAAGGCTAGTGCTCTACCACTTGACATAGCGCCACTTCCAGCTTTTTCTGCTTATGTGGTACTGAGGAATCGAACCCAGGGCCTCATGCATTCGAGGCAAGCACTCTACCTCTGAGCTACCTTCCTAGCCTCAATATAAGTTTTCTTATTCTTCTGCTTCTATTAAAGAAAATTTGTATATTTAATCCTCTGGATTCCTGAGATGGAAGATAGAACAATTTCTTTTAAACTTAGACTTATATAAATTGTCTCGTTAGGTTTAAGGTCTTGTTATTATTAACCATGTATTTTAGACAAAGAGACGAGCGTGTGAATGTTTCAGAGATGTTTGATCCTATAGGCCACATAATGCTCCCTGTTGGAAATTAGGACACTGCCTTCCTGATCTATATTGTATTTGTAGGTAAAGGGATGGGTCTTTTTTTCCTGTTGTGTGTTGGTCATTACATGCCAGCTATTGGGGGCAAGTGTATTATTAAAGGGAATTTCTTTTCCTACCTACAAGGAGGACTTGGAGAAGACCAAGAGAAGAGAAGCTGTCTTTTGATCAAGTCACATCCTGCCTACCAGCCAGCCAGTGCTCTGACATTGGTGTGAGAAATCAGAGAGCATCTTTAAATGTCTCTGTCAGGCAATAACAAGATTTTATCAGTTCCTATAACTTAACACTTTGTTTTGTGTGTCTTTCTAGAAATATTTATGATACTCAGTTTATACCATTTTGTATATGATTGATACTGATTTGGGTTGAAAAATAAATTCATAGTTCTTAAAAAGTATGGTTATTAAGGTATGTGTGACTGTGATTTTTAGTATGTTTCCTTTAATCATTGGTCTCAGTTGGCAGTTGCTTATAAAACCTAGAAATGCTTAACTTCTTTAGCAATCAAGCCTTTGCTCTTAACCAGACTAATTTGGTAGGTAATCTTTTAGTGTTAACTCTAATGAACCTGAATTCTAAAAATCTTTCTCTTTTTTGTCTTGGCTGTAATTTTCCCCCCAAAACTAAACAAAGGGTGCTGGTGCTGAAAGCTATCTTTTAATGGGAGGCTTCTTTTAATGGGAGACTTCTTTTCTTGCCAAAATAGTGGTTTTAGACAGATCATATTTCCCCTAGGGTAACAGGTCTGTCAACTTTCCTTAAATTTGTCTGAACTTCACTGTTAGGTCATCGTGGTACTAAAGCCCTTAACTCTCTCTCTTGCTGTCCCAACCCATAGTCATGTTTAAAGTCAAGTAGCTTAGAACATAAGATGGCTATAATTCATCATTTAAAAATCTGTTTTAAGTATAAGTTATTAACCACTGTTTAAGCATGACTACTACTAGGCATTGAACCCAGAGCCTTGACTTGTGCATGCTAGGCAAGAACTCTACCACTGAGCTACATGCCAACCCTGTTTTTAAAATTATCTAAAAAATTACTTGTTTAGAATCAGGGACTTGCTATGTAGTTCAAACTTGCCTTGAACTCATTATCCTCCTGCCTCTGTTTATTGAGTGCTGAGGTGATAGGTATGCCTTGCCACAACAGGCTTTTGACTACCACTTTGTTTGTTTGTTTTGCTGGTAGTAGGTCTTGAACTTAGATCCTCTTGCTCTTGCTTGGTTTTACCCTCACAGCAAGTACTCTGCCATTTGAGCCATACTTCCACTTTTGGCTTTTTGCTGGTTATTTGGTGATTAGAGTCTCAGATTTGTCTGCTTGGGCTGGGTCCCAATTCTCAGCCTCCTGAATAGCTGGGGTTTTAGGTATTGAGCCACTGGCACCTAGCTTGCCTGTATTTTTAAATGAGCAACATCCTTATTTTTTTGAGGGTAAAAAAAAGGCATAGATAAGCACCCACCCTTACAATATTCAGCCATATTTCTCAGCAGTCTTGGTGGGTAGTTGCTATAGTGAAGTACAAGTTGATATGGAGTTACATGATCAAAAACTTGAAATAAGCCAGGCTTACGTGGCTTAGCCTATAATCCTAGCTACTCAGACTGAGATCTGAGAATGATTGAAGCTTGCCTGAACAGATAAACCCACAAGACTTATCTCCAAATGTCCACCAAAAAGCCAATAGTGGAGACATGGTTCAACTGATAGAAAGCAAGCCATGAGTAAAAAAGGTGAGTGAGAAAAAGTCAAGCAAAAATGGAAGGCCCTGAGTTGTTGAAGTCTCAGTACTGCTTTTTTTTTTTTTTTAACCAAGTGACATATTTACTATCTTGGCACACCTATTAGAAATTAAGTGAATGAGATAGTCCTTGCCTGCAAGGAGTCTGCAGTCTTCTGCAGTGCCGTTTGGAACCTGCATCATTAGATGCAGGTTTCTGTGCATCAGGATCACTCAGATTATGTATTAGATGGGCAGGCTGGGCTCCACTTCAATGTACTTCAAGCCTGGACCAGTTCCCAAGAGATCTAGTTTCTAACAAAGTCTAGACAAGTAGTGTGAAAGTCACACCATGAGAAGGGTTTATTCAAGACCAGAGAGTCCCAAAACTTGATGCATCAGAATCTCTTGGAGAGCTTCTTAAGACAACTTTAAAATAATATTTTTGTTGTTATTGTAAAGGTAATGTACAGAGAGGTTTCAGTTACATGTCAGGTAATAAGTACTTTTTGTTGTTGTTGTTTGTAAGACTTGAACTCAGGGCCTAGGCACTGTCCTGAGCTTTTTTGCTTGAGACAAGTGCTCTGCCACTAAGCCACAGCTCCATTTTCAGTTTTCTGGTAGCTAATTGGAGATAAGAGTCTCATAAACTTTCCTGCCTGGGCTAGCTTTGTACCACAGTCCTCAGATCTCATCCTTCTGAGTAGTCAGGATAACAGACATGAGCCACTAGCACCCAACAATGACTACATTTCTTTTTGGACAGTGTCACCTCTTCCCTTGCTCTCCCCCAATTTTTCCCTCTTGTCCCCACCCACAAGTTGTATAGTCATTTTCAACATAGTTAAGACAACTTTTGATCCTGTCTTCAGAGAAGCTGATTCAGTATGTGATGCTAATATTGCTGGGTATTTTGGAACCAGTGTTTTAGTGGTATTTTCTCATATGAGTGTCTGAAGCGTGAGAACTCTGCTATAAAATGGAGTTCTTCCATTTGATTCATTTATTGGGAAGCTTGAAGAATACTATTAAATCCAATGGGTAATGCAAGACTGTGGACAAAAGTGTTGTTTGTTCCTTTTACTTGAGTTTCTGTTTTTCTGGCAAACTTTCCATTCTTCAGAAGCCTTCCCACATACTCCCTAAAATGTTTTAGTGTGCCTTTTCAATGCTTAGTCATTCATTGGGCAGGGGCGGGGGCTTCTCACATTGATGAATGATAGGTTTTCCCGTTTGTAGAGTATAAGCTCTATTCCTTCCAGGATTTTAGTCACAGTCTTTAGCAGACTTTTTTTTTTTTTTTTTTTTGTGCTGGTCCTGGGGTCTGAGCTCAGAGCCCAGGTACCATCCCTAAGCAGTTTTGCTTGAAGCTAGTGCTCTACCACTTGACCCATAGCTCTATTTCTGACTTTTTGGTAGTTAACTGGAGATGAGTCTCATGGACTTTCTTGCCTGGGCTGGCTTTGAACTACAATTCTGATGCTCAAGACCTCAGCCTCCTGAATAGCAAGGATTATAGATAGGCATGAGCCACTAGGACCCTGCACATGATGGTGTTTTGAAGCTATGTTGACTCTTGATTAGTTTCATTGTTCTGAACCCATTAGTAATAGTCAATTAGTCTCTTCCTAGTTATATCATGATTCTTGG